CCCCTACCCCCGCCTCACCATTACCCTCTCCCTCACCCTCACCCTCAACCCTTAGACGCACCCCCGTCCTCACCCAGGCGGAGCTCCACAGCCTCCACGACTACTCCCTGCCCGAGATCCCGCGCGCGCCGCGCTCCTCGACGGCACTCACCATCCAGCCGTCGAAGAGGCAGAGCAGGGTGAAGGGGTCGCCGAGCGGCGAGAGCAGCGACCCGCGCGCGGCCGCCTCGGGGGCGAGCTGCCCCGTCGCCATGTCGAGCGGCATGCGGCCGAGGGGCGAGGCGACGGCGAGCGCGGCGGTGACGGTGAGCAGCAGCGACGCGCGGCCGAGCAGCACGCCCAGCAGCAGCATCTTCCCGTGGTGGTGGTCGACGGGGAGTCGCGCGAGCACGCGGCCGAGCGCGGTGAGCCTCCCCTCGGAGTCGGTGCCGCCGAGCGCATGCAGCGTCGCGAGCGCGTCATCGAGGAGCGCGGCGGGCGGCGGGGAGAGGTACGGGAACCGCCTTGCGTCGGCGACTCCGAGCGCAAGGATGTGGAGCACCGTCGAGGCGAGCGGCGCGCGCAGGATCTCGGGCAGCGAGTAGTCGCGAAGGCTGAGGAACTCCGCCTGGGTGAGGTCGGGGGTGAGGGTGAGGGTGAGGGTGAGGGTGAGGGTGAGGGTGAGGGTGAGGGGGGGTAGGGGGGGGTTACGGTTATGGTGAGGGTGAGGTGAGGGTGAGGGTCAGGGTTGGTCAGGGTGAGGGTGAGGGTGAGGGTGAGGGTGAGGGTGAGGGGGGGGTAGGGGGGGGTTACGGTTATGGTGAGGGTGAGGTGAGGGTCAGGGTCAGGGTTGGTCAGGGTGAGGGTGAGGGTTTGAGGGTGAGGGTCAGGGTGATGGTGATGGTGAGGGTGAGTGTGAGTGTGAGTGCTCGCGCAGGGAGAGGAGCTCCGCCTGCGCGTAGAGGCGGAAGCACGTGCCGGGGCCGGTGCGTCCCGCGCGGCCCTTGCGCTGCTCGGCGGACGCGCGCGAGACCCAGCACGGCAGCAGCGCCTCGAGCCTCGAGTGCGGGTCAAAGCTCATCTCCTTGACGGCGCCGGAGTCGACGACGAAGCGGATGCCGTCGATGGTGACGCTGGTCTCGGCGACGTTTGTTGCGAGGACGACCTTGCGCACGCCCTGCGGCGGAGGAGGTGGCTGGGCCCCTCGCCCTCCCCGGGAGGAGTTGTGTGTGTGTGTGCGTGCGTGCGTGCTTGAGCGTCTCTCTCTCTCTCTCTCTCTCTCTCTCTCTCTCTCTCTCTCTCTCTCTCTCTCTCTCTCTCTCTCTCTGTGTGTGTGTGTGTGTGTGTGTGTGTGTGTGTGTGTGTGCAGACACTTTACAGCATCAGCACAGAGGCGGTGCCGTCGGTGTATGTGTCGCGCGGGCAGGCGGTGGCGTGTGGAGCGTGCACCTGCGGCGGCACATCGAATACACGCTCCTGCGCCTCGACCGGCAGCGACGCGTGGAGGGGCAGCACGATCCTGGGACGTGACGCCAATGTCAGGGCGTGAGTACGGTACCGTGCGGTGCACTCGGAGCGCCGCGTGAGCCCCGCTGAATACGGCTGCATCAGCCGAAGACGCGTCCTCTCGAGTGCTAGTTGGACGCCAAAGAGGTGGCTTCCGCGTCTAGGCGCACGAGCCACTTGCCGCTGGCGGCGGCGTGCGCCTGCAGCGGCTCCAGGGGAGATGTGGGGAGATGGGGAGATATGGGGAGATGTGGCGGCGGCGTGCGCCTGCAGCGGCTCCATCAGCCGCTCGATCTCCTCGACGCCGGAGACAAAGACGAGGGCGTCGCCTCGCTCCGCCGCAGGGTACTCGGCCTGCGGGGGAGATATGGGGAGATGTGTGGGGAGATGTGTGGGGAGATATGGGTAGTCGACTCGCTCCGCCGCAGGGGTACTCGGCCTGCGTGTTGCAGAGTGCAGCTGACGTACAGCGGATCCAGCGGGGGCTAGCAGCTGCGACACAGACGAGCGCGTGTCCTGCACAGTGCTGCTCGGGAGACAGGGGTCTGCCTTCCAGCATCTAAAGGCCCTCGGCCTCGATGCGTCCGAGCACGCGCAGGAGGAGAGGCGCGCTGAGCAGCTCCTTGGCGCGCGACTTGAGCATCCGGTGCGGTCCGCCCTGCAGCGCGCCTATTCATAGCTAGAGGTGTGAAGAGACGCTGTTCACAGCATCCGGTGCGGTCCGCCCTGCAGCGCGCCTATTCATAGCTAGAGGTGTGAAGAGACGCTGTTCACAGCATCCGGTGTGGTCCGCCCTGCAGCGGGCCGCCGCCGCCCGCGCCCTCCGCCTCGCATGCCTCCGCCTCGGCCTGCCGCGCGTCGCGCCCGCTCGGCGCGTCGGCGTCCGACGTCACGTACCGCACCTGAGGGACGCGTCTCGGACGTGTCGCCGCCTGGACGTGTCCTGGACGTGTCCGACGTGACGTGCCGCACGTCGATCGGGTGCGTGCGGCCGGGGACGTGCAGCACGGGCGCGCCGCCGAAGAAGGCGGAGAGCGCATCCTCGTCGAGTGTTGCGCTCATCAGCACGAGCCGCAGCGAAGGGCGGCGGGGGAGCAGGCGGCGCAGCAGGCCGAGGAGGAGGTCGGTGGACGAGTGTCGCTCGTGCACCTGGAGGGTCGGGGGGAGGGTCGGGGACACTGCTCCCCACACCGGTGTGCGCGTTCTCAGGGCAGGCATCACGACGGACATAGTGGCAAGCGAGTCAGGGGGGGCAGCGGTGCGGGCCCCCACGGCCCCCCTCGCGGAGAAAAGGCAGGCAAGAAGGTGAGGTAGACTCCTCTCCACACACACACGAGGGTGGTGGGGCAAGGGCCAGGACGATAGGAGCCCATGTCCATGTCCATCTGTGTGTGTGTGTGTGTGTGTGCGTGCGCGTGTGTTTGTGTCTGTGTGTCTGTCTGTGTGTCTGTGTGCACCTCGTCCAGCAGCACCGCGTCCCACTCGCTGAGGTCCGGGTCCGACTCGAGCTGGCGCAGCAGCACCCCCTCTGTCACGAAGAGCAGCCGCGTCCCGCCCGAGCGTACGCCCTCGAAGCGAACCTGCGGGGCCGTGACTCGGAGGTGGTCGTGGCCGTTGTGTGCAGAGGCGGACGCACCTCGAGGCGCAGAGGGGGCGAGGGAGGGAGGGAGGGGAGGGAGGGAGGGAGGGAGGGAGGGAGGGAGGGAGGGAGGGAGGGAGGGAGGGAGGGAGGGAGGGGCCTGGTGGCCGACGTCGGCGCCGTTGCGGCAGTGCGACTCGAGCGAGACGCGGCGCGCAAGCGAGACAGCAGCGAGGCGGCGCGGCTGCGTGCACACCACCTTGCCGAAGCCGGCCGAGAGCAGCAGCCGCGGCACCTGCGTCGACTTTCCGCACCCTGTCGCGCCCACCACGAGGAGGACCTGTTCACGGCTGCGGCTGTGAAGAGGCGCGGCTCACACTCCGCAGCTCGAGCGCCCCACGAGAGGAGGACCTGTCCGCTGCGCAAGTGGTCGAGGAGCTGGGGCGCGTACCGCGTCACCTGGCGAGGGGAGGAGAGGTGGGTACGGGGTGAGGAGACTGGGAGGTGCGCTCGGGTGGTGGCGGAGGGCAATGTCGCAATGTCGTTGTCGAAAGCGTCGTGGCGGTGCGTAAGCGAGCTGGCGCGCGGGTGGCGCGCGGGTGTGCGGCGTTGGCGTTGGCGTTGGAAGCTTCTCGGAAGCGTCACCGGGAGAGCCGCGCGGTCGGCGGCGCTCTTGCGGAGGGCGGCGAGGCTCTTCTTCTGCGCAAAGTCCTCGTGCATGTGAAAGAGCAGCCGCACAGCCTTGAGCCTCTCGCGGCGGAGGCCGACGCGAGCAGCGGCGGCGGAAACCTCGGGTCGGTCGAGGCCGTGAGGGTCGCTGGCCGAGCCCGCAGGGTCGAGGATCGAAAAGTTTAGTTTGTACTGCGGATCGTAGCTGCGCGGGAGGTTCAGGCTGCATCGCTCGGCCGGCACGCCGCCGCCGCCGCCGCCGCCGCCGCCGTGCTCCGGTGCCTTGGCCCGCCTCTGATTCGCGCGGCGATGAATGAACTGCGTGTAGAATTCTCGAAACGACGCGGCCGCGGCCCTCGCGTCGGTCTGATCGGCGAAGAAGCCACGCGGTGCAAAGAAGACGCGCTCGATTAGCTCCCATTGCGCCTCTGTGGGAGCCTCGGAGCCGAGCTCGCTGAGCCATTCCGGAGAGACCGCAGCCATGCCGGCTCTCACGGCGGGTCAGCAGCCCTTGCTCGACGGCTGGTCGTTGTGTGGTTGGGGCGATGCTGGGTGGAAGTGTATTTCTTTTTTTGACCCTTGATTTTTAGTTTCCCGGAGGGTAGGTAGGTAGGTAGGTAGGTAGGGGCACCGCAGGGGCCGGTCAGGTTTTTGCAGAATTTCAGGATGTTCGGCGCGGAGCACATGAAGCTCGAGTCCCGAACTAGAGGCTTAATGAACGGCGCGACGCCATCTCGGCGCGGCGACCACTACCACACTGCCGCAGGGCGGGGACACGGCAAGCTTGCGCGCCTCCCCGCACTGGGCCGACCCACAGCCACGCTCACGCTCATGCATGTGATCGTGTGTGAGTGCCTGACGCCGGTGCCCGTGCGCCTCCTCTCTCAGATGCGCTCGACGCCGAGATACCGCAGTGCGAGTCGCGCCCTCTCAGGAGCGGGTGGCCACGCCTCCCACCACTTCGCGTCTACTCCGCGTCAAACTCATCGCCCCCGTCGGCCTCAATGAACTCGCCCGCTTCACCGTCGCCTCCGCCCGTGTCTGCGGCAAAGCCAGCGTCGGCGTAGGTGGCGGTTGCAGGGACGGCACCGCTGCCCCCTCCTTCGCCCCCTCCTCCGAAGACGGCCTGCGCCGCGCGGTCGGCGAGGATGCCACCGATGAAGCCCGCGCCTGCACTTGCCGCCACAGCGCCGCCAGAATAGCCCTCTTGGTGGACCTCGTATGGCTGCTGGGGGTAGCCTCCGCCCGGATATCCGTAGCCGGGCGGGGCTGCGGGCGGCGGCGCCCCGTAGTAGCCCGGCGCCCCATACCCGGGCGGCTGCCCTTCGGGTGCCACAGGCAGGCCTTCAGGGATGCCGCCGGTCGGGTAGGGCCCCGCCTGCTGGTAGTATGGCGCTGCCTGCTGGTTGTAGGCGCCCGGGGCAGGCACTGCGGCCGGGTAGTAGTCGCTTGGGTCGGGCCCTCGCATCCTGGAGCAGCAGAAGCAGCAGAGCAGCACCAGGGCAAAGCCACCGAGAAGCATGCCGCCGCTGCCGCCGCCGCCGCCGCCATGAGAAGCGCTGCACTGTGGCCGAGGGTCGCCGGCGGCACCACAGATTGCGCAGGATGGCTCGGCGTGCTGGGCGTAGCAGCGGTACATCCCGGAGACGCAGCGAAAGCAGTTTGCAGTAGCTGGGCAGCACATCGACGTCGACTCTTCGACGCCGCAGCAGATGCCCGGGGACTGCTTGAAGGCGTGGTCGCACGAGCCGCCCGGAGAGCAGCACTCCTCACACCCGGCCGAGGCGCCCACGAGGGGCGCCAGCACGGCGATCAGGCCGACGACGGTCCGCATATGTCGTCGCAATCGTTTGCGGACGGCTGGATGACGGCCCTTGGTCGACGGGCCGGGGCGGGTTCGCCAGGGCGGGTTCCCTGAGCCCTGTGGCGGCCTCGAGTGGCCGGCCGCCTGTGGCGTCCGACGAGGGTGTCCTTGGTGCGGGCGTGGCAGATTTTCTGATAACTACCTCCTTTATGATGGCTTCACGGCGCGGTGGGAGCTCCCCCTCTTCCTCGTGGGCCCGTCTAGCCGTGCTCGATCGCCGTGCTAATTGCCACTCTTGGCCTGGCTGCCTCTGCTGCTCCTGCCGCGCCGTTTGGGCGTGCTCTGACCCGACTCTCGACCCGAAACATCGCCTGCGAGCTTGCGAGCCGCGCCTCGGGCCTCATCGGCCTCAAACTCCAGTTCGGCAATCCTCAGCTTCGCCTCAACGAGCGCCCTCTACGACGGAGAAGGGGGGCAGGGGGTCAATGGCCCGGATGGGATGGACGCGCCTCCCGCCCCCCGCCAGGGGCTCACGCTAGGGGCGCGCACCGCCAGACGCCGCCGGAAGCCAGATAGCCATCTTCTCGCCAGCCGTGAGATCACCGCGGCGGCCCACAGCTCGCGGCCCCCACCATCCCCAGCGCTGCCGTTGAGCATCGCCTCGGCACCGCGCAACCAGCTCGGCACGTCCTTCTCGGCCGCAGCGGCCGCAGCGGCCACCGCAGCCTCCTCCGCTGCAGCCAGGGCGGCCTCAGCTGCCTCTTGGGCAGATGCTGCCTGCTGGAGCTCAGCGCGGAGTCGCGAGGTTTCCGCCTCGCCTTTTGCAGCAGCTGCCGCGAGTGCCACTACTCGCATCCGCAGCGGAATGTCGCAAGGGTAGGAGGAGGGGATGAGGGCGGCGATGTCTTTCAGCGTCGCCTCAGCCTCTCCGGCACGCGCGTCCGACTCAGCCAGTTTCCTTATCTGAGCCGCCCAGCGCTCGGCCACGACGGCGGCCGCAGCCTTGCGCGTATTGTCCAGATTGCCCTGATCGCCCGCGCTCTTGTGCAAAAACATCGCCATCCGGAATGAGCAAGCAAAACAGCCTGGGCCGGAGAGGACGGAGCCGACCGAAAACTTGGCGAGTTCGTAAAAGTAAAGTAGCTGATAGAATTTTACATCGCACGACACTGGGCACGGGACTGGCGCGCACTGGAACTAACACAGGTACACCGGATTTCAGAAAACACCCTCGGGTACGCGCTTTTAGCTTACTGGGAGAAAAGGGAGAGGGAGGTTGTGTTCTCTCTCTCTCTCTCTCTCGGGTATGTTCGTAAGAACCACATACACTGGAAATGTCGCGAGGCACACCACGAGGTGGGGTGCTTGCTTGCTAGTACGAGCCCGACCTACACACCTACTTTTGTACGAGTAGAGTGCGCTTGTGTCGGTTGGCGGTTAGAACCCGAAAACCCTTGTGAGTCGCTCATCCATCGCAAAATACCTCGCTCCTCATCCAAATCCCCGTCAGCAAGCTAGTGCAAAAGGACAAACAAAGAAAACTATGCGCGCAACGGCGCTTCCGAGCGAGCAACAGCCCGCAGCATCGCTCGCGCGCTAACACGCGTTGCGACAGGCAACAAGGCCGGTCCCGCGATGGCGGAGCGGCCCACCGAGGATGGCCGGAGCGCGATGGAGGGCCTGATCTTTGTCGTGCCGAGCGCTTCGATGCCGACTCTCGCGGTTCGCGAGGCGTTTGGGCGAGAGGTCGCGCACCGCGGCTACCTTCCGAACCTGCGGCCGCTCTTTGAGCAGTGGCGGCGCTCACCGAGGTGGGGTGACTGGGCCATGCCGGGCGACAGCCGCCCAGGCTTGCGCGAGGAGCCGCTGCTCGACGAGTCGCAGAAGCGGCTGCGCCAGTCCACGTCGTCGCCGGAGCTCGGCCACAGCCGCGACCCGTTCCAGCTACCGGCTCCCGCGGTGCTGCCCGCAAAGGCGTCGGGCGGCGGGGCGGACTGGGGCACCGTCTTCACCATGTGCTCGGCCACGCTCGGCGCGGGAGCCCTCTCGCTGCCGTACGCGATCAGCCAGATGGGGCTGCTGCTCGGGCTCGGCCTGCTAGCGGCGACCGCGTGCGCGACCCACTACTCCATCTCGCTCCTCGTGGGCGCGATGGGCGCGACGCGGCTGCACTCGTTCGAGGAGCTTAACTACGGGGAGATATGCGGAGATGTGGGGAGATGTGGGGAGATGTGGGGAGATGTGGGGAGATATGCACTCGTTCGAGGAGCTTACTAGACGAATCAGGCACGGCCTCCTCCTCCTCCGACCATTTACGACTCGTCATGTCACTACCAGGAGCTCACGGTGCACGCCTTTGGGCAGCGGGTGGGGGTGCTCGTCGAGGTTGCGATCATCGCCTTTTGCTTCGGCACCGTCGTCGCGTACACGGTCGCCATCGGCGACATCCTCGAGCCGGTGCTCGCGATGCGGTCCGTGCAGCGCCACCTCGGCCACGACGTCCTCAAGCAGCACGTCCTCTTCGTCCTCTGGCTGGTCGTGATGCTTCCCCTCTCCCTCGCAGAGTCGCTCTCCGCCTTCGAGGCCTCCTCCGCTATCTCCCCACATCTCCCCATACCGCCCCATACCTCCCCATAATTAAGAGTCGCTCTCCGCCTTCGAGGCCTCCTCCGCGTTCGGCGTCCTCTCCCTCCTCTACCTCGTCCTCTCCGTCGCGTACCACGCCGCCGCCGACTGCAGCCGCAACCCGCAAGAGACGATCCAGCAAGTCGAGCTCGCGCGGTTCGGACCGAGCGGCCTCTCCTCGCTCGCCATCCTGCTGTTTGCCTTCACGTGCCAGGTCGCGGCACGACCGCGCCGGCCCACAGCGACACCTTGCCCCTTCGCCCACCCCCACCCGCGCCCCGCTGACCGCCGTGCCGGCCGGCGCCAGTGCTGCCCTCACCTCCCCGCATCGGGCAGGTCATCTCGGGCCATCTCGGCTCATCTCGGCTCATCTCGGCTCATCTCGGCTCATCTCGGCACATCTCGGCTCATCTCTCCTCCCCGCACCGGGCAGGTCAACGTGCCCTCGATGTTTGCAGAGCTCCAGCCGCCGAACCCGGCCACGATGCGACACATCTCTCGCCGCGCCGTCCTGCTCTGCCTCGGCTGCTACGCCCTCATCGGCACCGCCGGCTACGTCAACTTCCCACACAAGCGCGAGTCGAACGTCCTCTCAAACTACGAGCTCGACGAGCCGCACTCCCGCATGATGGCCCCCTCCTTCGGCGCGATCGCCCTCACCGTGCTGATGGCGCGCGCCCGCCGCAACGTCCTCCCGCCCGCGCCGGCGGCACCCCTCCCCGAACCTTCTCGGAACCTTCCCCTGAGTAGGCGTACCCGCTCAACGTCTTCCCGTGCCGCTACACGCTCGACGTGATCCTCAGCCGCTCGGCCGCCAACTGGAGCTCCTCGCCCAGCAGCGCCGGCTTCGGGTCTCTAGAAGCGGAATGTGAACCCTTTGTATTCCGACTAGCACCCGAGAGGACGCGTGCTCATCGGCTGTAGCCGGTGTGTTCTTGGCGTAGGCTTTGGGCCGACACCCATCCCGCCGCGCCGCCGCGCGCTGCTCACGCTCCTCATCACCGGCGCCTCGCTCCTGATCGCCCTCTTCGTCCCCGGCATCAACATCGTCTTCCAGGCGACGCGTCTCGTCCCCCCTCCCGTCGCTGCGGACGCATGGCTGCGGATGAAGCCTCACTACGCACCGCCACAGACAGCTCCCCACCGCCCGCTACCGCCCTCTACCGCCCTCTACCGCCCTCTACCGCCCTCTACCGCCCTCACTCACCGCCTCCACTCCCCTTGCAGCTGATGGGCGGCACTGCCTCCGCCTTTGTCTGCTTCATCCTGCCCGCCGCCTTTGCGTGGCATTACGACTTGCCCGAGGTGCGCTCGCGCGCCGGCAAGCTCGCCTGCGCCTCTCTCTTCCTCGTCGGCTGCGCCGTCTCCGTCCTCTCCACCACCGTCACCCTCACCGAGATGGCGAGCACGAGGCCGCCGCCGCCCGCGCCTCCGTCGCGCCTCCACCACCACCTCTTCGACGACCGCCACGACAGCCACCACCACTACGACAGCTATTACGGGTAGCGCCGCGCGGGGGGGGGAGGGGGTTCTGAGAGCCTGAGCGACAAGCGGCAGGCGCAGCGCCCATGTGCGTGATGGTGTGACTGGGTGACCGGTGCATTGGCGGCACTGGGCCCGCTCGGCACACCAGGGGCGATATGTGCGGGCGGTTGGTGGCCGGTGAGGCGGGTGAGTTGTGTGTGCAGTGGTGCATTGCAAAAATCAAACTCAAAGTACGACCCTGGAGTGTCGTCTGTCGCGAGACCTCGACACTGTTCTGATCACTGTCTCGAGTCGTGGACCGGCGGCCCGAGGTGGAGGACCGCGACGCGCGAGGTCCGACGAGTCTGGAGTTGGCGGAGAGTGTCCAGTGTGTGTCGCGGACTGGGTCTGCGGTCTCGTCAAACGTCGTGCCTCCCTGACCACCCTATGTGCCACACGAGATATGTGGAGTGGCGAGTGGCACATGCACCGCACCCCCGGCCAGCACGACTGCAGTCGACTGTTTTCCTGAGCCCTGGCCTCGACACCTCGACACCAAACCTCGACACCGACTCGACGCCTCGACACCCCACATGCCAACTCGACCAACTCGACACCCCTCGACACCCCTCGACACCCCTCGACACCATCCAGGCTGGGACCATGCTCGTCCGTGTCAAGGTGCCAAACTCGACACCTCGACACCCCTCGACACCCCTCGACACCCCCCGACACACCGCTCGACACCCCTCGACACCGCTCGACCCACTCGACACCGCTCATATCCAGCCGGCGGCCTGCCAGCGGCTCTCTTCTTGCTTCTAACTGCAAAACTGTATAACACCCCCTACCCCCCCCTACCCCCCCCTCACCGCCGGACCAGCCGCCGTCGAGAGCCCGCCGAAGCGGCGCTTGCGGCCCCCGACGGCGGCGGCGTCGGCAGGGGAGGCGCCGTGGGAGGGTGCCGCTGCCGCGGCTGCCGCGGCTGCCCCCGCTGATGGCAGCTTTGCTGCCACGCAGATCGCTGCGAACAACAGGCTGGATGCCTAGGCCCCCACCAGGCCCCCACACGCCCCACCACAGGCCTGTGCGCGTACGTTCCTGATTCCTCTCGTATGTATCACGATGGTCAGCGAAACCCTTCGGGTCGCTCCTCATCGCAAACCCTGTCAGCAGAGTCCTCCTACGGGAATGTACGTAAGAGCTACATACACTGAGAGAGAGAGGGAGAACCGCGCCATCCTCGATCGCCGTGCAAAGCTCGCTTCCGAGCTCTCACGCCGCGCGTAGGGCCCTTATTAGGGGCCTAGAGAACACAACCCCTTCTCCCTTTTCTCCCACAGTAAGCTATAAAAGTACGTACACTGAAAAACACCCATTGTGCTGGCGTCATCTTGGAGTGAACAGGCCGCACCTCGATCCTGTACCGTGTTTGTTATGACCCCCCCCCCAATGAACACTCCAGTGAGGGTGGGCGAGACGATCGAGGGGTCCCGTACCATGCGGAATCGACCCTATCAAGTGCTCAAGTGCTCAACAGGCCGACTTCGCGGTTTGAGCGCCCAGCGCAGACCGACCGACCGCAGGGGGGGTCCGGTCGGCGGCCGCGGAAGACCGCAAACCGGAGGGGGGGTCCGGTCGGTCGGAGCGCAGACCGAGGGGAGGGTCGGTCGGGTTGGCACACGCTCGCCGCAGCTGTGAATAAATTAGTATCTCGAAATACTAGAGACACCACAAGCGACCTCTCCCCGTCTAATCACTCCTCGTGACGTCGTCCGAGTTGCTGAGCTCGAGACCGCGCTCAGGATTGGGTCGGAACACGAGCTCGTCCATGTCCACGCTCTGGTCGTCGTCGTCGTCCATGATTAGCTTCGCCGGCGACACACTGTAGCCGTTGACGAGCCGCTTGAGCGCGGCCAGCACCTCCTTCTGCCGGCCGCGCGCCCACGGGGGCAGCGTGCAGTAGAACTCCTCGAAGGTGAACTGCTCCTCCTCCGACTCCAAGAAGAGATCCACCTCCCTCTCCACCTCCGTCGTGAGGTTGATCTGTAGTCCTCGTCCTCGTCCTCGTCCTCGTCCTCGTCCTCCGCCTCCGCCTCCTCCTCCGCCTCCGCCTCCTCCTCCGCCTCCGCCTCCTCCTCGCCCTCGCCCTCGTTCTCCGAATCGGACGGATCGCCTAAGCTCTGCCCGCGCGAAAATTTGGAGACGTGAAGACCGGGTGCGAGGCAGATCATGTTGCCGGCATAGCTCTGCCCGCGCGCAACGCGCAGCATGTCGCGATTAACTGAGTTGCTCCAGAAGCGGCGTCCATCGATTGCCATTCGCTGTCGCTTGGGCGACTCGGAAGCCGATGAGCCCGGTGACGGCGGCGGCGATGTGTCGATCAAGTCTGGCAAGTCATCGTAGCATCGGAAGGGACGATGCGCGCGGTACGGAGAACTGGAGCCCTGCCAGAGAGCTTGTACAAAGTGACGGCAAGCAGGACCAGGCCTGCGACTGCATAGATGCTCCACATGTGTGTGTGGGGTCGGGCTCGCTCGGGCCTCGGCGAAGTCCGAAGAAGTCTCCTTGCACCTTGGCGCTTGGCTGCGTGACTAGTTTTCATAGTGAAAACCGGCGATTTCGAAGCGCCCGTGGCGGTTCGCGAGAACCGAGAAGGAGGGAGAGCGTTTCAGGGGGCTCACGGCAAGGACACCGACCGAGGGGGGGGGTCGGTCGTCACACCTCCCGCCGCCGAGTTCCGAGAGAGCGACCGACCGGAGGGGGGGTCCGGTCCACCTCGGGGGCAGACCACCGACCGGCGGGGGGGTCCCCACGAAGTAGGGTGGGTGGGTACAAAGTGACGCTCGTATGATACGCTCTATTACCCCGCGTTCACTTAGAGAAAGTTTGCTTCGCGCGGACACTGTGCGAGCCCGCAGCGTGCCCCCAGCCCTTGGTGACGGCGGCCTCCATGGGCCACCCTATCGCTCTGTGTTTGCACCAGCAGCCAGGCCAACACCCTCATACCCACTAGGGTGGTCCTGAACACTCTAGGGGAGCGCTAGAACACTTGGCGCCAGAGGGAGGGTGAGGGAGGGTTAAGTGAACGAGGGTTACGGCTGCTGTTTGCTGTTTCCCCCCCACGTACAAGAATTGACAATTGTTTGGAGCTTTTGAGAAAGAGCTCGTTTACAGACCCACGTAGCGCCCCCTCACATGCCCCATCGCTTCATCGCCGCCGTGGCGGCGCTCCGCACGCTGTGATCGGCGTCTCCCAGCAAGTCAGCTACCGCGTCGGCGTGCTCCTGGGCGTCGAGGCGCGCCAGTGCGCTCGCGGCGGCCCCACGCACGCTCGCATCCTCGTCCGCGAGCAGCGCTGCGAGGCGTTCGAGGTGCGCCGCAGCCGCCTCACCGCCGACGGCGCCCAGCGCGCCCGCCGCCGCTGCACGCACCGCCACTGCCTCGTCCGCGAAGCAAGCGGCGACCGCGCCCGCGTGCGAGGCCGCCCCCGCTCCGACGCCTCCGACCACCGCCAGCGCCGCCGCCCGCACCTCCTCCTGCCCGTGAGACACGCAGAGAACCGCAACCGCGCCCACATCGGCGGCGCAGAGAGCAGCACGCAACACCACGAGCGCGTCGGCGGCGGCGGAGCGGACGTCGCCCTCCTCGTCCTCGAGCCGGCCGACGAGCGCGGCGCAGTCGGCAAGCTCGCCCAGCGCCGACATGGCCCGCACGGCCATCTCGCGTGCGTCGGCGTCGGCGTCGCTCAGCAGCTCGCGCACCACGGGCAAGCAAGTGGCCGCGACAGCCGCCAGCCCGTCGGGCTGGCCGCACAACTGCGTCAGCGCGAGGAGCGCCGCTCTGCGCACGCTGATTGCGCCGCCGCCCACGTCGCAGTTGTGCGGGCTGGCCAGCTGCCGCGCGAGCAGAGAGAGCTGCTCCGAGCTGATGCTCGCGACAGGGAGGGCGGCGAGCAGGCTGGCGGCGTCGCGGCGCGCGCTGCTGTCGGCCTCGGTGTCGCAGAGCCGAGTCAGCAGCGCGTCGGCACGGCCGCCGACCTCGGGCTGCCGCCGATGCTGCTCGCCAGGCCCCCTCGCCGGGGCCCTCTCGGCCTCGGCCGCCCAATGCCGCTCGCACAGCGCCCGCGCGCCGCTAGCCGGCAATCGCAGCTCGGTCTGCTCAAAGACCGCGAGGTGCTTGTGCACGGCGAAGCCCAGGCCCTCGAAGAGGCGGCGCGACGCGTCGTTGTCGTCGGTGATCTTTGCGACGAGGTACGCCACACGAGGCACCTGGCAGGGAGAAGCCGCGTCCTGCTCACTGCGTGGCGCGGCGGCGTCGGCGACGAAGGGCGCGAGGGAGGCGGCTGCGGCGGAGGGTGGCGGTGCAGGTGGTGGAAGCAGGCTTGTCGGCGGGGCCTGCTGGAGCAGCCAGTCGACAAAGAGGAGGAGCGACTCGCGGCCCAGGCCGCCTCGCCGCACGCCCGGCTCGGCGATCATGATCTCAAGCTCGGCTGCGAGCGGGCCAGTCGCGCGCCGCAGCGTTTGCTGCTGCTGCTGCTGCTGCTGCTGCTGCTGCTGCTGCTGCTCGTCGGCCGTCTCCTCATCCTCCTCCTCGGCGGGTGAAAGAAAGGCGTTCACATCGCCGCACATGCCCGCCGTGAGATCGTCCACGGCCGTTGGCTCGTCCGTGTTGGCGCTGTGGCCGTCGAGCGCGCACACAATGAAGGTCGCCTTTGACGCATCTTCGCGCCACGAGAGCTGATTAGCGTACTCCTCTGCGAGCGTCAGCGGCTCTGAACAGGTGAGACGCTGCAGCTCCTCGTCCTGCATCCACCTGTGGTAGCGAGGCACGTGCAGAGGGAGATAGGGCACGAGGCGCACGCGACGGCCGCGGAGAATCGTGGTGAGGTTGTCGCGCATGGTTGTGCGGCAGCGTCAACGTGCCGCCACACAACGTGCGGTGCCGAATTTTTTCTTGTTTCCGTGGAGATTTCTGAGTTGTGGAGTTTTAACTTGTAAAATTCTTTCCACTCGTCCATTTTGTCAGCAGACCACCACGGTGGAGAGCTGGGCGGACGCCGCAAAACTCTCTCCACCGTGGTGGCGGCGATGGTTCGGCGGTGGCGGTGGCGGCGACCTCGAGGCGACCGGCGAGAGAGGCTCGGCGGCGCGCTCACGACTCACGTGGCGGGATGATCGGCGGCGGGATCGGCGGCAGGACCGGCTCAGTGGCGTTCGGCTTAGTGGCGTTCGGCGGCAGGATCGTCGGGGGCATCGGTGGCATTCAAGCGCGATAGCAACCGCCATCTTTCTATCCCACGCCCTCGACGACCCGACCACCCAGCACGCCGATTGCACGGACGAGACCGTCTGGGCGATGGTTGCCCGCTTCGTGGGCCCCCTCTGTGGTGACTGTGGCCCCGGCCCCAGTGGTCTCGTGTGCCAAGGCGACGAGCTCGACCAGCTGCCGCCCGCCGACCCCTTCGCGGGCTGGGCTGCCAGCTACCCGAGCAAGCTGGCGCTGTGCAACGACGTCGCGCGTGTGCTCGGCTTTGGCTGTGCCACATGGAGCGACTTTGACAACCAGTGCAAGGAGGACTTTGGATTTATGCCGATAAGCTTTCTTGGTGGCTGCGACGGGGAACGGGGGCAAGTTTGCATCGACGCGTGCTACGATCCGGACCATGGCCACTGCGGCGACCTCTGCGGCGACCCTGGCCAAGAGGAAACCTGCCCGGGTGCGCCGCCGTTGTGCCCAAAAGAGCCTCTCGCGCCCGCCGGGTTCTCACCTTGCGCGCCCGCCTCTGACCAGGTAACTGCTTCGTGGGGGCGCCTGGTTTCCACTCGGATCCGCCGGCGGCCGCCTTCTCCGAGAACGAGTGTGGGGCTTTCTGCGTCGGCTTCCAAGGATGCATTGCGTTGTCCACGGGCTGCACCACGCCGCCTTCGCCTCCCCCAGCGGAGTCTCCACCGCCCTCCGACCTGTGCGAGCAGTCTCAGCTCTTTACCATCATCCCCACCCTCTCCCAAGAGTGTCAGGGGACGTTGGCGGCCGCAGTCGCCAACGCCGGCGCCGTGGACAGTTCGCAGCTCTGCGCATGCTACCTCGAGGTGCCCGAGGATACGATGTCCACTCTCACCTGCAAAACGCAGGCCAGCGACACGCTCACCATCTACGAGCAGTACCAGCAGTGCCAGCAGCTGGCGGCGCTATCGCCACCGATGCCGCCACCGTCGCCGTCGCCACCGCCGCCTGTCGAGCCCGCTTGCACCGAGCCCGGCCTCAGCACCGCGGTTTGCACCGACGACAGCCACTGCTGCGATGGATCCCGCTGCATGATTGTCGAGTATGACTCGGTAAACCCGGACGGCACCACGTACGAGAGCCACTGCCTCCCAGCCGGCGACGCCATGCCGCAGATGTACACGCTGCGCAGCAGTGAGTGTGGCGTGCCCGCGTTTGTGATGGAGGGCAAACTCGTGACCGATGGCGAATTTTGCGGCGACCAGCTCGGATGGGCCGAAACCCCGTGGAATCAAGAGGACGAGGACAAGTGCATGGGTTCCTACATCGCACCGCTCGACGAGGACTACGCCATGCCGTGCAAGTACGTCTCGAAGGCCACAAACACGCTGACCGGGGTGGGGGACCACGTGTGCAAAGGAGGAAGCTCGAAAACAACCTTCATCAAGTGCACAGCGTAATGGGACAACGACGATCGTGGCGCGGTCACGGGAGCGTGCAACCTGCGAGGGAGCGTGTTTGAGCCGAGCGAGAGAGTCCTCCAGCGGCTCCCGACTACCGTCGTTCTCCAAAAGCAAGCGCTAGGCTCGACCCGGGTGCGTCGCCTCAGGCATGCGCGAAACCGCGACATGCAGACCCGCCCCCCCCCCCCCCCCCGGGGGGGGGTGCGATGGGGAGAGAACGCGGGGTACGCGCGTGTGCTGCTGGGGTGGGGTGCGGTGGGGGTGGGTGTGGGTGTGGGTGGGTGACGGTGAGTGCCTGCCCGCTTTATCGTTGGTCGATTCGTTCTTTCTCTATCTCCCCCGACTGTGGGGTGCACTCTGACTCTCCTACGCGGCTCGGCTACCAGAGTACTTTTCCCTTTAGAGTTTAGTGTGTGGAGTGTGGGACACCAGGGCAGCGAAAACCGAAAAGCCCGAGCGCGACAACGAGAGTCGAGACGCCAAAAACGCGACACCGTCACATCTCCACTGTTCTCACAGCTCCAGCCGTTCCCGCACCACAGGGGGGGCAGGCACGATCCGAAAGCTCGCGCTGTCGATGCATAGGCAAGTCACATCGCCGCGCGCGAGCGGCGCCCCGTCGGATCTCCGCAGCAGCCAATGCTCAAAGAAAACCTGGGTGCCGCGCGCCCGGAGCTTGACGCGGCACCGCAGCTCGAGTGGCGTGCCCGCAAACGTGCGGTGCGCCTCTGGCAGCAGCCGCAGGCCCAGCCGCGCGACGACAACGTTGACACCTGCGCCAAGGGACGGCGTGGATGACGGCAGAGAGACGACCCACCACAGCCGAAGCTCTTGCCCGGTGGTGCTGCCGTGCTGCCGCGTGTTGCTGGTATATTGGCGCTCTCCCAAGCTATCTCATCTCTCGCCTGCGTCGGCGAGCCCCGCGAGCTGGTCCGGCCCGCCGAGGTACTGGGTGCGGTGGCGCTCAAAGTACCTCACCGCTGCGTGCACCGAGAGCGTGCCAAGCGCAGAGCACTCGTCAACATGGAGCGCGAGCGGCGCGTCTGCCGCGGCGACCGCTGGCGCCTCGCCTGCGGGCGGCGCTGCGCCGAGCACGGCCTCACTGCCCGCCGGGGCGTCTGGGAAGTCGCGCGAGGAATTGGTAGAGGGGAGCGGCCAGTCGTCCTGGACGTGGCCGTCGCGGATGCAGCCGAGGCGCAGGTCGCTCGCTGAGCACAGCGCCTTGCCGTCCGCCCGCACCAGCACCGCGGCGTATGCGAGGCGGCCAGCTGCGTCGATGCCCTGCGGTGACACCTCTACGTGGCAGTCATCGCCAAGCTTGGCCGCCGTCGAGCACTTCATCCCAGTGACGGAGACCAGGCCGAGGCTCGAGCGCTCGGTGCGGAGAAGCCTCTCTGCGTTTGGCAGACCGACGAGTGCGGACATGGCCGCCCGCTCAAAGAACCGGAGGTAATTGCCGTGGAAGACTACGCCGTAGCAATCGGTGTCTTCGATGTAGACACGGACAGGGTGCTGCAGCGGCGCAGCGCAGGCGAGAGCCAGAGGCGTGCGGACAGGAGCCCGAGGAGATTGCCTCAAAGGCGTGGCGGCGAAGGCGAGCGCGGCCAGAGGAGCTAGGAATCCTAGCATGTTCGACCACAGTTCGCTTGGCAAAAGATTTGAGCGTCGCTCGTGGCGGCGCACTGGGGCCAGAGACTCGTGCCGCCGCCCCTGCCACCCCTGTGTCAGTGTGCCTGTGGTAGGAGAGACTGCCAGCGACAAGCTGGAGGCAGGTCGCTAGACTGAGATGAGACCGCCAGTGGATGTGGGAGTCCACCGCGCACCGCGCTGCGAGCCTGTCGTGTCCCTTGTCAGGAGCAGGAGAGCCCCACCTGTCCCCCTGATCGTTCTTCCAAAATCCTGCTTGTGCAGGTGGGGACCCTGTCCTCGTCCCATCCCTCGTTTGGCGTGTCTGTTTTCTTTCTTTCTTTCTTGGGGCCAGATTCTAGGGGCAAAAGGATGTCTCATAAAATACCGCGTTGGTGTCCCAGTCGTTGGTCGGACTGTGTTTCGCCTTCCCATCAATCAATCAATGGAAGAATTCAAGCGTCGCGGCGCCTCTTATCTCGCGGCTTGTCTCAGCTCGAGTTGGGGAAGTTTAGGATGGCGTTGTCGCCGTGGATCTGCCGCGCCCTCGCGTCGTACGCGCGCGCCGCCTCCTCCTCGTCGTCAAAGTCTCCGATGACCACGTCGGTGCCGTGCTGCTTGATACGCGCCTTCCATCTACCACTTTAGAACGGGCGGCGAGTGAGCGTAACACCAAGTGGCGGGGTCAGGGGGGGGAAGGGGGGGGGGGGGAGGGGGGGGAGCGCACTTGCCGTAGCGCCGACTCACGCCGCGGAAGGCCGATGTGCGCTTCGGCTCCGCCGGCGCCGCCGCCGCCGCCTCCGCGCCACCCGCTGCAGAGCTGCCCCCCGCCGCCGAGCTGCCCGCCCCCGCCGCCGCCGCCGCCGCCGCCGCCGCCGCCGCCGCCGCAGGCGGGGCGGTGGGCCGAGCCTGCGGCGGCGGCTTCGCGGGGGGGGCGGGCTCGGAGGCGGGCCGCGCCTCCTTCAGGGCGGGCCGCTTGCGCGGCCTGCGCGTGTACGGCACCTCCTCGTAGCACTTTGCCCACCACGCCGGCCGCACGTCGGAGTAGAGCTGCATCGCGACCAGCTCGGCGACCTCCGGGTCGGTCCCTTCGGTGGGCGGCGCCGCCGCAGCGGCGAGCGCGCTGCACGGGCCGCCGGGCAGCGCGGCGCCGAGCGCGGCGCCCACCTAACAGGGGGCGCGGGCATCGATCGCACGCGCGGCGCGCGAACCCGCGCGGCCGGTCGGGCAGCGTGCGAGTGCTGCGAGTGCGGTGTGCCCCGGAGGGGCGTTGTGCGGTGCAGTCGCTTTGCGAACGGCGCCCCTCAGCCGCCCGCCCGCGCCACCCCCCGGATCAGCCCGGCCCCTCTGCGGTGCCCGCACGCGCCTCCTTGATTGCCTCCCAGTGCTCCTCGCGGTCGTGCTGAGGGTCCGAGACAAAGTCGTAGAGGAGGGAGGAGACGGTGCGCTTGGGCGCGCGCGACGAGAGGATCCGCTGCATCACGAAGCCCACCCGCGACACCCGCACGCAGTGAGGGCACCACCAGTCGTCGTCTTGCGCCGCGAGCAGCTTGAGCTGCTCGCCTTGCGCGGGGGTGAGGCACCGCGCGTGGTAGACGCGCGGGCAGACGTCACAGCAGATGAGCTTGCCTCCGTCCCCGCACACCGCGCACTCGTCCTCCGCAGGATCCTCCTCCGCAGGAAGCGACCCCGCCGCGACCACCTCCATCGCCCTAAGCCAAAAGAATTTTCTCCGCCCCTGCCTTTGCCTGTAGGTGCGCGTCTTAAAATCCCTGTGTGGTGGCGGCGTGGTCCTCCCATCCCTCCCTTGGGTTGTCTGTTTTCTTTCTTTCTTTTGTAGGTGCGCGACAGAGGAGGAAGTGACAAGGGAGAGAACGACGAGGGTGGGACGGCCGCGAGGTGGCATGAAGCTTGAAGGTTGCAGCGAGAATCGGCGAGAGACTGCGAAGAGAGATAGGAAGAGGCAGACTCCCTAGGGTGGGCGACGGATAGCGCACCACACACCTCTCCTTAAAATCCCTGTGTGGTGGCGGCGTGCCGTCCTCCCATCCCTCCCTTGGGTTGTCTGTTTTCTTTCTTTCTTTCTTGTAGGTGCGCGACACAGGACGCACCTCTAGTGAGGCCCGCATAGTAATGTGGGTGACTCCTGCCGCCGCCCCTGCCACCCCTGTGTCAGTGTGCCTGTGGTAGTGACTGAGGGAGGGTGTAGAGGATGTAGAGTGTAGAGCGCTGTAGAGCTGTAGAGATGTAGAGCGCTCCGGAGTGCTGTAGAGCTGTAGAGCTCTACATCCGCCGCGGGACGAAGCGGGTGCGTTGTAGAGCGATGTAGAGGCGCTCTACAACGTGAAATCTCTACAACAAACTCTACATCATAAGCGGCGAACGAGGCACGGTCGCTCTCCGACATGAGGCGCGTTACACTTGCCAGTGCTGCCCTGGCCTTCTGTCTGCCCGCCCAATGGGTGGGAGGTGCCTCTGCTGCTGTGGCATGCCTCACGGCTACGACTGGCCGGCGCCTCGGCGCGTCAGCTCGGCTCGGCGTAGCGATCGTAGCCAGCGCAACTCGCCTGGACTCAACGCTCAGCCAGGAGCTCCCGCACACGCTGGCGCGAGTCATGGCGCATGCAACGCGTCTGAATGCTCGCCTCGCCTCGCGCAAATGCGACCGCCCTCGCAGCCGACAGTCCACCGCCTGCTAAAGAAGCACAGCGATGAATGCGGCACCGGCGACACATGGCAGGCTGGTCATGACGCAGTTAGGGTGTTTTGTGCCGTCAGAGTGACTCTCTGTGTGTCAGGGATAGTCAGGGCCGTCCATCAGAGCTCCAGTAAGCTCGGAGACACCCCATTAGTGCGACTCGACCTCTTTGAGTCACTGCCTTCCCGGCGGTTTGGCTGTTAGTAGAGCCTCTACAACAAACTCTACAGCAAAATCGCGCTCTACATCGCTCTACAACGCACCCGCTTCGTCCCGCGGCGGATGTAGAGCTCTACAGCTCTACAGCGCTCTACATCTCTACAGCTCTACAGCGCTCTACACTCTACATCCTCTACACCCTCCCTCAGGGTAGTGAGAGACTGCCAGCAAGAAGCTGGAGGAAGGTCGCTAGACTGAGATGAGACCGCCAGTGGAGTTGGGAGCCCACCGTGCACCGCGCTGCGAGCCTGTCGTGTCCCTTGTCAGGAGCAGGAGAGCCCCACCTGTCCCCCTGATCGTCCTTCCAAAATCCTGCTCGTGCAGGTGGGGACCCTGTCCTCCTCCCCCATCCCTCGTTTGGGTTGTCTGTTTTCTTTCTTTCTTTTTGCCTGTAGGTGCTCGAGGCCACCCCTGGTGCTGGTGCGGGGCTTGACGCTAGGGCCATCACTATCGCAAAGGTGGGCCTGGGAGGATACCGCCAACGATGCCCAGCGGCGCGTGCATACCCACGTGCGCGTGTGTGTGTAGCGCAGGTGGCCACTGTTTTGGTCACGCGCATGAAGCTGATGAAGCGCCTGCTGTTTTGGTCACGCTGCACCGCGGTGCCCTGATGCGACTGCCGTGAACGGGGCTGTTGCCGTTGTTGTCGTCGTTGCTGCCACTGCAGGTTTGGGTCGACCGGCGCGGTCTCAAACTCGGCAAATTTGAACGAGATCAAAGCAGCCAACCCGCGCCCGCAGCGGGATTCTCGTAGCTTAGGGTTCAAGGTTCAAGGCCTCTGAAGGGCAGGCAGGCATCATGCCAGTAGTGCAGACGACGCGGACCAAGCGCGCTCGGGTCACGCAAATACGAAGCTAATAGGAGCAAATCTGAATCTGGCAGCGGGATGTCGCAGCATGTGGGGCTTGTGGCGCGGTGCTGGCTGCTGCAGGTTGTGCCTGTGTTTGCACCGCGGGAGCATTCAGCGCTAGTCGGCCCTGGCCCTTTGCCGTGGTCTGGGCGCGATGCCACGGCTCACATCCAACGGAAGAAGCGGAGGCGGGGGCGGCGTTACACTGTCGACACGTTTGAAGTTAATCTTCCATCTAAGTGAGTGAGCGTTGCGGGCCCGCCCGAAACGGCGTTGTAGACTTGGACCCAGATTCCCATTTTCGAACAATTCAACGACCCGCCGGCGGTGGCTTTGAACTGAAGCGGGCCTTCGGGAGGTCGAGGAGTTGGCCCCAAATCGTCCATGATGCGCTTGTAGTAGTTGAACCTGGCAAAATTGTTATTGTCGGAGTATACTTGTTCGTCGAACGGAGGATCACACCGCTATGGTTTATCTGTGTCGTGGGTGTACAGAAATGCCGCTTCTCCACTGGCCCAACGCGGCCTTTATAGAGGAAGCGCACAATGTTGACGTTTTTGTTCTCGTGGGCCACCTCAACGAGCGCCGTGTGGTTGATGCCCTTTCGGAAGGGAAAATCGTGCTGCACATAGTGAAGGAACCTGACGCTGGGGTAGTGATCCTCGATCAGAGCCAATATCTTTTGTACATTTCCGGATATATGCCGGTGCTGCTGGCTCACGACTATGTGGACGTGTGTCCGGTTCTGCGGATTGAACCTGTGGTACAGCAGTTCCACATAGCGGTCGAGTTGTTCCAGCCGCGCCCCCACTTCGTAGCCATCCCAGTGCTTTAGCTGCAACCCATCGACGCCAATGTACACGGGGGCCGTTGGCGACAGCCCCTCAACCAATTCCAACGACCCCACCACCCTGTCGATGAAGTGCAGCGTCGGGTGGGTTTTGATCGAAGACGACGTGATGATGACGGCCGTGTCTCCCGAGTACTCCCGGTGCGGCACCACGCGGCGTTCGTACATCGCAACCGGCGTGGAGAGCGGCCCCACCGCCGCGGCGCCCGGGGCCAACAACACCATTGCCAGGAGAGTCGCGGTAGTTGAAATTCGCATCTCGGTCGAAACGTTTGTGCTGTTGTTGCACGAGCTCGCCCCTCCGTGAAACTCTGAACAATGCATGCATACGTGTGTGCAGTGAGTGGGCGCGCATGTCGCAGCAGCAGCGTGACTTTCGAAAGCGAAGAACCGGCGCAGCCAGAGTGCTGGCGCGGTCGCAGAGCCTGGCGCGGCCACAGGGCTGGCACGGCGCCGGGCCAGGAAGAGCAGCGAGAGAGCTGCAGGAGCACCACGCAGGAGCGTGGCCACAGCGAACGTGTTTGGAGACGTTCAGACGACTCCGCGTCCTGATTGTTCACGGAAAAGTCTCCGCATATATAATATCGCATGAAAAGAAAACGCGTTTCCGCACCCCCGGGCCCGGCGCGAAAAGAAAAACTCTGGAACTCAAATGTATATCAATATGTGTCCAAAGACACACCTCTCTGATAAACTGTCTACAGCTGTCAGCTCTAAGAAACAACCCATATCTTGAAGCGATCTCGCTCGATACTGGCACAGCAAAACTGCGAGCCGAGGTCAGAGCCCTCTCTACAGCGCTCACGAGTGGTCAAAATTGAAGCGGAAGCTGCCTGACGGTGCCGCCACCGCTGCCTCCTCCTCCCCACTCTCGTCGTCGTCGTCGCTCTCGTCGCTCCGGTCAATGCTCTCGCCCTCGCCGCTCTGCTCCTCGCCGCTCTCGCCCTCGACGGACTCGCCCGAGTCGCCCGGGCTCGCATCCTGACTCTGCTCCCCGCCCGCGGCCCCGCCGGATGCGAACCCCTCCGCTGTTGCCTGCCGCTCACGGCTCACGCTCTGCAGCCGCCGCCGCAACCGCAGCAGCGCCGGGTCGGAGCCTCGGAGCGAGATTGCAGTGGCGAGGTCGGAAGCGGCGCCCGTCAGATCGTCGAGTTCGAGCCGCGCCTGATCGGCCGAGCCCCAACTCAGCCCAACTCAGCCGAGATGAGCCGAGATGAGCCGATCTCAGCCGAGCTCAGCCGAGCTCAGCTCGAACGGCGCCTGCGCCCTGCGGTAGAGGGCCTTGACGTTGCGCGGGTCGGCGGCGAGGACCTACGCGGCAAATCGCCCTCCATGTCCATTACTGGAGAGGGAGAGGGGGCGGCGCTGGCAGCGACGCACCCGGCCGCACGCGTCTCGCGCCTCGCGCCACCGGCGCAGCGCGAGCAGCGACGAGGCGAGGTTGAGCCGGCACATCAGACGGCCGTGCCTACGCAGACCACGCGCCACGGGTCGCGGGCACGCCGCGCCGGCAGCATCCCCCTGCCCGGCCGCGCGCCGCTGCTCGGCACGCACCGCGGCGTCTGCCACGTGGAAGCGCGCCGTGGCCAGCGCCGCGCGGTACGCCTAGTCGTGGCACGCGGCCCACGGGCGTCACGACCACAGCACGTCCCCTTCGCGCAGCGCGCCGCCGCGGAGCGGGCCTCGCGAGCCGCCGCGTGCTCGCCGCGCCGGTGCGCCGCGTTGCCCTCCTCGCGCAGCGCGCGCGCGGTCGAGAGGCGCGCCGTCGCCTCCTCCGCGGTGACCTCCGCCCCGCTCCACCGCGCAGTCCCGACTCCCTCGCGGCCACTCTCGCCCGCCGCCCTCCGGTGCCCGCTCTGGGCGCTCTCGCGCCCCCTCCTCGCCTCGCCGAGCCCAAAGATTTTGACGTCCGAGTCGATGCCCGACACGGCGAGCACGGGCAGCGCCGGGTGCGGCGCCACGCAGTTGACGATGGCGCCGTCCCCGCGCGCCTTGCGCAGCAGAGAGTGGGCGGCGTGGGCGGCGGCGGTGGCGGCGGCTGAGAAGGAGGCGGCGGGCGGCCAAAACACAAGGAGGGAGAGGCGACAGAGGAGAGAGAGAGAGAGGGAGAGAGGGAGAGAGAGAGAGAGAGAGGGGGGGAGAGAGAGAGAGAGAGAGAGAGAGAGAGAGAGAGAGAGAGAGAGAGAAGGGGGGGGGGTGAGGGAGGGAGGAACAGAGACGGCGCGGAGGGGTGAGGTGGCAGTGGCGGTGTGTGCGTCGCCTTGAGCAGCAGCTCGCCGCTCCGCTTGCCCCACACAAAGAGGTGGCCGCAGTCGCCGCCCGTGGTGACGTACCCGCCATCGTGCAAGAAGGCGCACTCCTTGGCGAACGTCTCGTCGTTGGCGCGCCTGCCCCACCCGCGCAGCTGTGAGCCCCCTTCTCGCCGAGACTCCCTCTCTCTCTCTCGGCTCTCTCTCTCGGCTCTCTCTCTCGGCTCTCTCTCTCTCGGCTCTCTCTCGGCGCACCCGTGGTACTCGGCGATCGTGTCCGCGAGCACGGGGATGTGTTGGAAGCTGTCGCCCGCCTGTGGGCGACGTGTCACGGGGTTCGGTCAGCACGTGCATGTGCCTTAGGACTCAACACGCGGGCCGCGCTGCTCTTCTCTTCTCTTCGGCTTTGCATGGAGATGCGAGAGGGGAGAGGGGCATCGCCCGCCGGCGCGCGCGAGTCGAAGAGGAGCATCCTCTCTCCGCGCAGGTTGACGAGCAGCTCGCCCGAGGAGGAGTAGGCGAGCCCGCTCGCCCCTTGGGAGAGGTGCGCGCGCCCGCGCCGGCTCGCCTCGAGCAGCCGCCGCGCGCCAAATGCCTTTACAGGCGCCGCCTCGCTCGCCTCTCCGCCGAGCAAGCGCAGGTCGTACAGCCGCACGAGAGCATCCTCGCAGCCGACGGCGACGAGCGGGCCGGGCGCGGCCGGGTCAAAGGCGAGCGTCGTGCAGCCGCCGATGTGCGAGAGGTTGATGAGAGCCACCGGCTGCTGCGCCGCCCGCACGTCAAACACGGAGACGAGTCCGTCGTGCGCGGCGGCGAGCAGGACGGGAGGCGTGTCGGGGACGTACTCGAACTTGGAGACGAATGCGTGCGACCGGCCGAGCAGCGTGTCGCCGCCGCTGCGCAAGTCCTGCAGCCGGACGGTGCCGTCGAGAGAGCATGTCGCCACCTTTGTGTCTCCGCTGTCCGGCTGGAACTTTGCGCAGAAGATGTTGCGCACGTGGCCAGTGTTCACGACGCAGCGGCGGCGGGCGTGACGCGCGGCACTCGGGTCCCACGCGTCCCACACTGCGATGCGGCAGTCGTCCGAGCCAGAGACGAGTTGTGTCCCGGCTGTGTTCCAGCTCACCGTGTTGACGCACCCGTCATGCTCCTCGAGGACGGCGCGAAGCTCTATGCGCCAGAGCAGCGCGGGCGTGCGCCATAGTCGGCGGTGCGTGAGGCCAGATTGCTGCCGCTCCAACAGGAGGCTGCTGAAGGAGGAGGAGGAGCCGCTGTGGCTGGCGGAGGACCACACCATATGTGTTTGTCGGACTGAAAGAGCAAGAGCAGCGAAAGCCTAAAAGAATTTTAGATAAAGCTCGTTTGGTCTGTCTGTTTTCTTTCTTTCTTTACCTGTCGTGTCCCTTGTCAGGAGCAGGAGAGCCCCACCTGTCCCCTGATCGTCCTTCCAAAATCCTGCTCGTGCAGGTGGGGACCCTGTCCTCGTCCCATCCCTCGTTTGGCGTGTCTGTTTTCTTTCTTTTTTTGGGACTGGAGATGACTGCTCTATTTATTTATTTATGGGCACGGGACTGGCGCGCACTGGCACTACATGTAACACGGAAAAGAACTCTCACGCCCGTCTGCGAGATGCAGGGAGGAGCTCAGGCGCTTAAGAAAGATCCTGCTCGTGCAGGTGGGGATCTCCCGCCTTTTTGGCTGTTTTCTTTCTTTCTTCTCTCTCTCTCTCCCTCACTCTCTCTCTCCCTCTCTCTCTCTCTCTCTCTCTCTCTCTCTCTCTCTCTCTCTCTCTCTCTCTCTCTCTCTCTCTCTCTCTCTCTCTCTCTCTCCCCCCCCCCCCCCCCTCTCTCTCGTGTGTGAGAGAGATTTTTAGAAGCCAACAAAAATGTGTCACACAGGCTCCGGCTCAGGTCGTGGGGCATAGCTCGGGTGTAAACGGGGTCTGGGGAGGAAGCCCCAGCGGCCCGCCGCAGGCGCCGCCGGAGGCTGGCCCGCCGCAGGCGCCGATTTTTTGGCGTTTTTTTTCAAAATTGAGGGATTTCTCATCTAAATTCTCATCCAAAATCGAGCTCGCTACGAGCTCTCTAACTGCACAGCATCTCCTCGTTGAGCCTAGCGGCGCCCGTATCGCCCACGCCCACATTCCTTTTTCTTGCCCTTGGCCCTTGCTGCACTCAGCCGCTCAACCTCTGCCAGTCTCTCCTTGCTCGTTGCTGGCGCTGCCGCCCCCAGTACTGCGATTGCAGCTCCTTGGCATGCCGCGCCGCCTCCATCTGCTGTGCTTCCCACGCTGCCGCTTCCTCTAAAGCAGCGCCGCCACTAAGCGGCGCAACCAAGTTCTCGCACTGTTTGCATGAGCATGTGTCCTGCTGGTGCGGCGCACAATCCGCGCGCGGCGAGTGAGAGTAGAAGACTGACAGCAGGAGCTGCAGGAGCTGCAGGAGCTGCGCAGATCGGATGGGTGGTGACGCCGTCGAGCGACGGCGCAAAGACCAATCACCACCGCTGAGAGCCGCGACACGAGGCTGCTGGCAGCTGCACCTGTGAGAGCCGCGACACGAGGCTGCTGGCAGCTGGCAGAGCGAATCGCGATTCCGGCGGCCGCCGTCAGCCCGCCGACACCGACGGCCTGTCTGAGGTCAAACTCCCACCGCACGTCGGACCAGTCGTGCGTCAGCCATGGCGACGAGACGTCTGTATGCAGACAGCCCGCCACCCGGGCGATAGAACATGCCAGCTGGGCTCTTCCAGGGCTCTCGTGGCCCGTGGCGCGTGCCCAGTGGAATAGGGCGGGCTGCGGCGGGCGCAATAACTATTCACAGCTAATGAAAACTATAAAAACTCGCGGCTTCATCAAAGTTTGAGGTGGCTTCGTCCTCAGCACCATCAAGACAGCTCTATTCACACCCTGTTTGGTTTGAAGCCACTCGGGGATGCCCGTTTACACCCAACCGACGAGTCGCTGGGCCCTCTGACCTGAGCCGGAGCCACACAGTGATTTGGGCTCGGCAGCTTGTCGACTACCAGCCGGATTTGTTTGTACTCTTGGCACCGTGGAGTGCTGGGGGGGGCGACAGGGAGGATATGGCCTTGAGTTATGTGTACGCAGACTCAGGGTGTGTGGCAGCCCGCTGGCTGTGTGTCTTGTGAGCTTGTTTGTGTCTGTGTGTCGCTCGTGCGTGTCGTCATCATCTGTCCAGCGTCCACCCATACCGCGTTGGTGTCCAGTCCGAGCCTGGCTGTTCTTCACCTTTCTACCTACCTACCTAGCCGGAGCCGGAGTCTTGTGTAGCTCTTACGAACGTAACGTACCCGAGGCGGACTGCTGACGGGGTTTGCGATGAGGAGCGACTCCGAAGGGTATTGGTGTGGATGGTTAAGCACGAAGCCGATTTTTTTCTTTTAAAAGCCCGTCTTGTCCTTTCGCCTGCGGAACGTTCAGCTCTCCCTGGCGTGGCATATCTCGTCAACCTGCATGTGGGGGGGAACCTCGCTGCATCTCGCATCTCTCTCGTCGGTATGTCCGCAGCGCGCTTCGCTCGACTGCTGGTCGTTCCAGACGGCCCAGGTCGCAGCGACAACAGGCTCACGTGCGGCGGCAGCGGTGGTGGCGCCCTCGACGGCGGCCCCCCGACACCAACAGTCGCGCTCCGCACGCCTTCAAGGTCAGCTGCGGCCAAGCGACGATCGGCTCGCTCCGATCGCTGGGCGCGGTCACTCACCGGCCCATCACCCGCCTGCCGATCACCTGTCCGCCTCGCCGCGCGCGGGCCGCTCGCCTGCTCGCCACTGCCGCCGCGCGTCCCCGCGCCGCCACGCTTCCCTGTGCACCTGACCGCGCTCGAGCTGCGCAGACGGCGCGCGCTCTGGCAGACAGAGCAGCGGCCGCCCAGGCGGTCGCTGCTCCGCCCCGTCCGAATCCGTCCGCCCGCGCGTGCCGCTGCCGCCGCCGCCGCCACCACCGCCGCCGCGTTTCCCCTCGCCGCCACGCTTCCCTAAAAACAGGCCGTGCCAGGCCGTGCCAGCCCACGAGGCTGCCCGCCCGTCCCGGGGGACACACCAAACAAGGGGTGGGAGAAGGACAGGGTCCCCACCTGCACGAGCAGGATCTTGTAAGGACGATCAGGGAAACCACGGGCTCATCGCCGAGGAGCCACTGCGGACCACCTCGTCATATATAGGTAGGCGGTTTGAAACAGACAACCCGCAAGGGAGGGATGGGGGGACGGCACGCCGCCACCACACAGGGATTTCAAGGGAGTGGGTGCGCCACGGAAGGTAAATAAATAAATAAATAGAGCAGTCATCTCCAGGGAGAGATGGGCGACGCACACGAACACAGAGGGTGCGACGGCATGCACTTGGTCTTGGAGCGCACTTGGAGTGCAGTCATTAACCGCACATCCAGGGCCGGGCATGAAATTCCGGATTTTTCTTGCAGTGGCCTTTAGATGTGGTGGCGGCGTGCCTCATCCCATCCCTTCCTATGGTGGCGCTTTCACATGTAATATTTCGACTACCAGCCGGATTTGTTTGTACTCTTGGCACCGTGGAGTGCTGGGGGGGGCGACAGGGAGGATATGGCCTTGAGTTATGTGTACGCAGACTCAGGGTGTGTGGCAGCCCGCTGGCTGTGTGTCTTGTGAGCTTGTTTGTGTCTGTGTGTCGCTCGTGCGTGTCGTCATCATCTGTCCAGCGTCCACCCATACCGCGTTGGTGTCCAGTCCGAGCCTGGCTGTTCTTCACCTTTCTACCTACCTACCTAGCCGGAGCCGGAGTCTTGTGTAGCTCTTACGAACGTAACGTACCCGAGGCGGACTGCTGACGGGGTTTGCGATGAGGAGCGACTCCGAAGGGTATTGGTGTGGATGGTTAAGCACGACGCACATTTTTTCTTTTTTCGCAGAAGCAAAGCCGGTGGCTCGGCTGGCTGCGACCACTGAGGCTGCAGCATCGATGGCTCGCGAGTCCGCAATCAGCAAGAAGTCGAGGAGCGGCAGCTCGAGAGCGGCAGCTCGAGAACGACCGGCCTCGCCGGGAACGCCTCCCGGCCACACCTCGGCGATCGTGCGCTTTGGCCCGCCGTCCTCCGGCCCGCGGTCGGCAACTTGCAAAGTATACGTGCCGCCGCACAACTTGGATACGTCTGTGGTGCGCAGCTTTGTCTGCCCTGCGCCGGGCTGCGTGGCGTGCTACGCGACAGCGGCGGGGTTATACCAGCACAAGCGGACATACCACCCTGAGACGATCGCCTCGCGCGGCAGCCCGCGCGGCGCCATCTCGTACGACGGCGATCGCCGCTTCGAGTGCCCCGCGTGCGACAAGTGCTACAGCAGCAGCCAAGGGCTCTACCAGCACAAGCGCGCCAAGCACCCGTGGCTGATCAACGAGCGGGAGAGGGGCTACACGCGCCTGTCGGGAAGCCCATCCATTTGTGAATGAGTAGGCCCCGACGCAGAGCGCTGCGTGTGCAGAGCGATTGTGTTCCGCGTCTTCCCTCCGCACACAAGGCCGGAACAGTGTAGTCTTTGTCGCTCTGCGCCCAGAGGCCAGAGCCGATTAGCGATATTAGCGCGGCTTCCCTGAGTGCCATCTAGCATGGAGTGGACAGACGTGGTAGACACCCCGTCATCCACATTCGCGGAGAGGGATGACAGTGCTGTGCGGCTGTGCGATGATTGTTTGTCTGAAGCTGCGTCTCAGCACTCAGGCTGAAGAAAAAAGAAAACACCAAGGGAGGGATGGGAGGACGGTACGCCGCCACCACACTGCACACAGGGATTTTAAACAGTGCTGTTCACCGATAGGGTTTCTGTAGGCATATTTTTTTGAGAGCGCCTTCGTTGTTAATAGTACAAACCCAATGGTCCTCTGCGAGCGGTCCTTCGTTGCAGTCGCGCACACGCACACGCCATGCCGCACCGCGCGCCCGCCCACCGCCCCGCCCAGGCGGGAAAGAAATGAAGAGATATTTTTTCCCGATGCCTCGCAACGAGCAGTGAGCACAACATGGCGGACCAGAGAGGCCGGCGAAGCAAACGAAAGGGCATATCCAGAAAGCATAGAGTACAAATGCGTTTAGCGGCATTGCTACGGCACGCGACAATTGTCTCCTCAACTTCCGTGCGCATTGACGAGGAGCTCAGCATGCCGGTGACGGTGAAGCGATCTCGTTGTGGCAAGCTCATTGTGATGTGGCACACTTATCTTGCTGGATCTAAAGCATTCGTGGCTCAATCGAGACATGGACGCAGGCACTGTCGAGGCGCAGGTCCGCGCCAACCCCTCCTTTGCCAGCCATGTGACGCGCGAGCGTGAGGCTCTCAGCCGTCGCACATGCGCCTCCGAGCAGCGGCGCACGAGCGACTGCATTTGCCTGGGATCGGACGAGCAAGGTGAAGTGGAGACGGAGGCGGGAGCGTCGAGCGATGATGAGGTGGAGGAGGTGGCACCCCCCGCGCCACCGCCACGCATCACTTTTGCGGTGGAAGGCGATGACGAGGTGCAGGGCATGGCGGCAGCGGGCGGGTTGCACGACTTGCCGCATCTTCGCGGCTTCTGCTTGCACAAGCCTTTCGTGCGCACCACCGCAAGCGGCCGCATGAGGGCAACGCCGCGACATGTTGCCACTGCTACTGCTTCATTTGCGATCGACCTGCAGCTGAGTGCCCGCAGTGGGAAAGCGAGGAACGCAAGGCCCCAAGTCACTGCAACGCCCACGGCGGCCACAAGCAGTGGCGGCTGCTGCAGGGGCGCGCCAAGCGGGCGCGCGACCGGGCCGAGTTAAGCGACCGGGCCGAAGATTGAAGCGGGGTGCGGGTGGCTCTTCTCGAGAGAGTGCAGGCGTGCGGAGCGTGCACGTGCCAGCACTTGGTTATGCACGCCGCCCGCGCCACACAGCTGATCAAACAACCCGCATCGATATATTTTTGTGCGTAAGACATATCGCTGCCACTCCAAACAAAACAAGAAGAGATGTTGGTTTCAGAGCTAGGGTTGCCTAACGTTAATTTGGGGCCTAACAGTTGCGCTATTGTTGGCTGAAATCCTCAACGTTGTTCAAGTGTTCACCCCAGCCCATGCTGTTACTGTTTGTTACTGTTGTTACTGTTGTTCAGCGGCCAGCAAGCAGAAAATGGCAAAAAACCCGGGTAAAACCCGAAAATACCTGGGGTTTCCCGGGTATTTTCGGGTATTACCCGCAGCCGCACTGCGGGACGCTGGAGATCGTCGTGGGTCACTGCCAGGCCTTCCTTACTGTTGTTCAGTCGGCCTAACGTCAGCTACTGTTGTTGGGAAGCCCCACTGTTGTTCTGTTGTTACTGTTAACACACTAGCAACACTGTTCAGCTCCTAACGTTAAGGCAACCCTATTTCAAAAGAAATAGCTCTCTCGGGCTCAAAAAGGGACGCACGAGGCAAATCTGATGTTGGAATGTTTCAATAGGAGAGAGGCCTCTTCCGTTGGGGGACCGAGTGACTAGGAAACGAGGGTTCCCCATTGTGACCCGCTCCAGCGCGAGCGTGACACTGCACCTGGGTCTTGGCGCCGAGCGCCCGCGATCTCCCGCGGCTCAGACCTCGTTGACGTTGTGCAAGCCGACCCTCGGTGAGCACGCCGGTCCGGATCGATGGCGCGCTCGGTGTGGAGCAAGCAAGACCCCCCCCCCCCCATCGGCGCGCGCTCGCCATTCCAACGGCCGCCAGGAGCACCAAGAGGACTCCTCATGGCTGTGCTCAAGTGGGCTTCGACCGGCCTCGGCTGGAGCTTGAGGTGGTAAAATTCTCTTTGCCCTCGGCTACGAGGCGCGGCGACATGTGCGAGGCACGGCTGCAGCAGCACACGGCGTACCTCGAGGGGCTGATCGCGATGGTCCCGCCCAAGTACTACCTCCCGCCCAACCCCGAGGAGATGGCCAAAAAGTTCCAGAAGCACGTGCGCAAGGGCCCGGCGGCGGCGGCGGCCAAGGCGCAGCACAAGGCCGAGGCCACCGAACGTCGACGGATCAAGCTGGATCCGACGCAGCAGCGGAGCGTCGCCGAGCATGTCGCCGCCGAGCGCGAGCGCGAGCTCCGCGAGGACGGCGAGGCGGCAGCAGCGGAGGCGGCGCGGCAGGGCGCTGCGGGCGACGATGGCGACGCAGAGGCTCCGGCGGACTTTTCGCGGCTCGCGAGGAGCGACGCGCCGCGCGAGCAGCTGAGCGCGCAGGAGCTGCGCCGCCGCCTTGCCGAGCGGCTGCAGCAGCTTCGCGGCAGTCGGGGCGGAACGGCGGACAGGAGAGCGGACGGCAAGGCGGCGCCAAAGCCACCAAAGCACAACCCGGCCAAGCGCCCATCCGCGGCGACGGAGGAGCCAGAGAGCAGCTCCGACGAGCCCGCCGCGGGCGCCGACTTGGCCACGCCCGGCGGCGGCGGCGGCGGCAGCGGCGGCGGCAGGAGTGGCGGGAGCCTCCAGTTTAGCAAGGTGCAGGCCGGCGGCAGAGCTAACGGCAAGCGAAAGGCGCTCGCGGGGGACCTGATGGGGAGCGGCGGCGTGAAGCGGCCGCGGGCAGCGGGCTGCGGCATCCTTGCCGCGGGCAGCGGCGGCAGCAGCAGCGCGGCCGGCGGCGTGAGCGAGGAGTCTCAGATGGATGTTTGGCAGAGTGCGCTCGAGAAGGCGGGAGGCATCAAGCAGCGCGACGACCAGAAGCTGCTGAAGCGGATGCTCAAGCGCAAGGTGTTGCCCGCCCTCCCGTCGCCCCCCCCCCCCCCCTTCGCTCTGCCAATCGCCCCCCTCCCCTTCTCCCCCTCACCGCGGCACGTCCCGACTCTGCGCGCGCCAGGAGCGGTCCAAGAAGAAGTCGCAGCGCGAGTGGAAGGCGCGGGTCAAGACGGTGCGCAACGAGATGCTGGAGCGCCAGACCAAGCGCCGTGAGAACCTCGAGGCGCGCATGACCAAGTCCAAGGCCAAGGCAGCGCGAGCAAAGGCGCGTTCAGGCGACCGAGCGGGCTTCGAGGGCAAGAAGCAAAAGTTCCTCAACTAGAGAGCCAGAGCGCCGAGGGCCGCAGCGTGCGCATGCGGGGCGAGGGCGGCGTCGGTACACCCTCTCCAGCGTCACCGCTTTCGGGGCGCACGCGCGCCGCGCGCCGCCTCGAGCTTGCCCTGTCGTCCCAGGCTCGGTCCTTGTCTCCTTGAGAGTCACTATCGACTGTGGAGTGGCGTTGACCGTCTTGATGAGCGTGTTGACTGTTGTCGTGGAGGACGCACACGGGTTTTGAGTGGCTGCCACTGCGCTCGTGCCGGCGCGATCTCTCGTCGGCAAGTGACCAAAATTCACATATTGCTTGAGAACTCAAAAGCAAACATTTACGCGACACGGTCTTCAACATTCGACCAGCGGCCCGCGTGGGGGCTGAGCTCATGTTAGCTGCTCCCAGCGCCCAGCTTTTGGAGAATCACGTCGACCTGGTTGGAGAGGACCGGCTGGCCGCGCCGTGTCCTCTTTTTGAGCTTGGCGCTCGTCTCGGCGCGCCGCCTCTGCGCTGCAGCTACCGCCTGACTCCGCTCCTCGTGTGCACGCCTCTCCTCCTCACGCGCCGCCTCAACCTCGCGCTGCTGCTCCTCCCAGCTCTTGCGCGCCAGCGCCTGGGCGCTACCTGCGGGCTTCCGGCGCTTTCCGATCGATGCGTTGCTGCCGCCGCCGCCGCCGCCGCCGCCCGCTTGCACATTCGGCGCGGCCCCGCCCGGCGCGCTGCCCTCTTTCCGGAGCAGCTGCTTGTACTTGCCCACCGTCTTCCAGCGCTCCACCTGCTTCTTCTTCTGTCGCTGCTGCTTCCACGCCGGCGGGACGTAGGTGGAGCGCGAGCGTGACTGAGGGGCCATTGAGACAAACCGGCACGCGAGCAACCTGTGACGCAAAAATAACGCACGCGCGGAGCTGGCGGAAGAGGACCGCCGCAAGCGGCGTGGCGTGGGTCGGTTGTGCACCCCTCCGGGGGCCCCTCTGCGCCGGGGAGGCGTTGTTGGAGGCTAGGACGCAAGCGTCCGTCGCCCTTTTCAAACTCGGGGCCCACTCCGCTACGCTCCGACCCGAATTTGGGGAGGGCCTTCGCCCTTTTCAAACTCGGGGCCCACTCCGCTATACGCTCCGACCCGAACGAATTTGGAGGGCCTAAAAGTTTAAGGTGTTGCTGCGCAGAAGGGGTCGGACACAGGGCGCAGCTCATGCTAAGAGCTAGAAGGGGAGCTAGAGAGAACGACTACTCTGTCCCGTTATTGCGTACACCAACACCACAAAAGCTCTCTCTCTCCTGTCCTCACTCAGGGGGGCGGTCACTCAAACTACCGGAGTCTCTCGACTAGCTGCCACGTTGCCGACCGAGAGCCAGCGGATCTCCTCCTGCTCCGCAAGGAGGGTGGCCAAGGCTAAAGTCTTGCCGGAGCCGCCGGGCGCGTTGACGACTTGGAGAAGGTCGCCCTTCTACTTGTACTTGTAGAGATGCTCGAGGGGGTGCTTTGTGGGGCGGTGCGCAGCCAGGCCAGCAGTGAGGGGAGGCGCACCCTCACTCTCCTCGGTTGCAGAGCTCGTCGGAGGCTGCGTCACGACGGGAGGGTCGCGACAGCAGCCTCGGGCGAGCCGACGCGCATGTCCAACCAGCGCTGGGACTCGTTGTGACGGCAGACGCCGGCTGCCTCTCCAACCGCTTCTGCAGCGTCCTTCTTTGCCCGTGCATGGGCTCGATCCGATTCCGCAGCGTGTCGTCCCCAGCGGCGGTGCTGCGCGGGAGGCGGCCGCGGGCACGCTGGGCTCGATCAGCGGCTTCCCCTCAGTTGCTCCGAAAGCACGGATTTGGCCGTTCTTGGCTTCAATTTTAAAGCACTGATTTGGCCGTTCTTGGCTTCAATTTTACGGATGTCTTGGCACCAGCTGAAGGCTTGCCCCCGTCCACGGCGGACATCACGCAGTTCGTGCACGGTATTCGGATTTTGCTATTTGTTCGTGTGGGGGTATATCGCAGATTTGTCAATGGTACCGCGTCTGCGACGCGGGCGCCTTGCGAGCAGAGCCCTTAGGACACCCTTTATATCTTGCGCGGTCAGAATTCACGTTGCGAGTCCGGAAGACGAATCGATGACGACGACGACTCGCCAGTGGTAATCCCGTCGGGGCAGCTGTCACGATGCACCCGAAGGGAACCCCAGCGCCAACACCGACCGTGGAGAGGTACAAGAAACGAGAGTGGACCTGAGCAACGAAATGACTTGGCGGCACATGATCCGGAGCGGGAGTCAGAAGAGTGGTCCCGCGAGGAGAGCTTGATAAACTCGAGGGGCCAAAATACGCCGCGAGGAGGGCGGAGTTGCGCCGAGAGGCGGGAGAAGCCGCGAGAGCAAGGGATCGGCAGGCGGCGGCGCCGTCGCAGGATGTGGATGAAGCAGAGGAGAGCGACGCGACCGAGGATGAAGCGGCAGGAGAGAGAGAAGCCAACAACGAGAGTGGGACGACCCCGCGGGGTGGCATATAAGGTTGCTGCGAGAATCGGCGCGAGGGACTGCGAAGAGAGATAGGAAGAGGCAGACGAAGGGTGGGCGCGACGGCTAGCTAGCAACACCTTCCTTTCCCGTGAAATCCCTTTGAGCTATGTGTGCGGTGACAGTGCACGACAAGGAGAGAGGAGCGCGCAAGACACAACACGTGTGTGGTGGCTGGTGGCGGCGTGCCGTCCTCCCATCCCTCCTTTGGGTTGTGTACGTTTTCTGTCTTTCTTTTTCTTTCCGCTTGTCTGTTTTCTCTCGCGTTTCTTTCTTTCTTCCTGTGGTTAGTGCCAGTGCGCGCCAGTCCCGTGCCTAGTGTCGTTCGTGCGAGGGAGTTTTGTCGTAAAATTCTTTCTTCTTTTTGAGTAGTTGCAGAAACATCGGCAACTCCTCAATGTTTTTTCTGCTCCGAGTAGCGCTGTAGCAAGTAAGGCTGCTGGTCGCGCAACAACAGTGTGTACTTGAAGAGCTCCTCCACCACATCGATAACGCGGCTGCGGAAGTCTGTATCCTTGAGGGAGCCATCCGCCTCGAATTTATCTTTGTACGCTTGGGGGATGGAGCTCTGATTTGGCACCACGATGCAACGCATCCATCGGCCCAGCACGCGCAAGTTGTTGACGGTGTTAAAGGACTGCGACCCGGCCTCCACCTGCATCACCGCAACCGTCTTGCCCTGGGTCGGCCGGATCGCGCCCTCGGAGAGTGGCATCCAGTCGATCTGATTCTTGAAGGCAGCTGAGAGGTTCCCGTGTATCTCGGGGCTCACCCACACCATCCCCTCACACCATCTCGTCAGCTGGCGCAGCTCGACAACCTTTGGGTCCGATTTCGGGTCCACGTCTCCGGAGAAGAGGGGCAGACCTATAGACCAGGAGGCACTCGGTCACAGAGGAAGAGTGCACTCGCGAGCTCATGTCGCGCATGGGGTGTGGATGGCTCGGGGCAGTGTGCACGTACTTTGTGACACACACCTGTTGGGTCAAAGACTCGCACGTCGGCACCGAACGAGGCGAGGATGCGACCTGCCTCGACAGCCACCTTTCTCGAGTATGAGCTCTCGCGGAGGCTCCCGTAGAGGATGAGAAACTTTGGTGGGTGCGTGCTCATCCTGCTCACCAGCGACTTGACTGTTGCCTCGACCGCATTGTCACACTCGGCGAGGTCCGTTGCAAATTCGATCGTGCCGGTCGGGCAGCATTTGACGTACGGTGGCTTGCCGAGCTTTGAAACCGTGTCGTCGTCTCGGCCCGGGGGGGGTGCCAGCGGCGCGCCGTCCGCGTCAAAGTCGGCCCAGAGACTACCAGCGCCAGTAAGACCCGCCGCGTCTGCGTGGGTCTGTGTGCCTGTCGCACAGAGCGCCACCCGCTCTTTGAGGAGTAGGGAGAGGCTGCCAACCGAGCCGGTGATCGCGGCCACTGCACCGGGGCGTCGCATTGCGAACATATTATCCCTGCCAGTTGGTCTATTACCCTTGGTGTTTTCGGGCCGTCGTACAGTGGGTTGCGGGCATTAAGAAAACAGGATTCCGCGGCACGCGGCCGTTTCTAAGCCTTTCCACAGCCCTCATCCACCCCACGCCGTGGTTTCTTAGCTCCGGCCGGGGCACTCAAGCCAGAGCGCCGGCCCGAGGGATTTTTAGGTAAGAGGTAAGCTGCCTGCGGTCCGCGAGGGCGGTGCCAGAGTCTGCCGCCAAGTCGGCTCTCTGGGTGACGGGAAGACGCACACACGCCTCCATCCACTCCACTCAGAACACCGCAGACTTGGAAAGTGACAAGTGCGCGCCGCAGGCAGGCGAACGAAGAGAAATTTGAGCCGCGGCTCCCGTTCACACTCGTGTCTGGCCTTTTCTCGGGGCCGCGCCTGCGGCGCGCCGTGGTTTCTTAGATTTTTGCGGAAATCGCTTGGTAGGGTTTCTTAATGCGACGTTTTCTTAATGCCCGCAACCCACTGTAAGAAGCAAGACCTCTTATTTTCCCTCATTTCTCTCTCCGGTGTGGCTCTATTACCCTTCAACAGGTATACGAACGACAAGCACAATACAGAGCAACACTCGTGCTGGGACTAGATCTCGAGTTGGATAGGCAGATGCGGACGCGGACGGGGATGTGAACGCGTCGTTAGGTTCAATGCGCCGAACGGCGTTCGCCGCCGAATTCGGGTGGTCGATTGCAAACGTTTCATATCATCATCATCAACCCATTGGCGCCGAGCCGCGGGATCGGCACGGGTTCGACACCGGCCCCGATGACGGACTCCGCGGCTCTGGCGCTCGCGGAGCTTGAGGCGGAGGAGGAGGCGGCGATCGCCACCCTCAAAGCCGAGTTCAAGGCCCGCAAGGACGCGCTCTGGGGCAATGTCGGTGTTGCCAGATAGATGCGGCAATCTGGCACGGCTGCGCGCCAGTTGGTTGGCGGCGGACTGATGAGCTCACTTGGGGTAAGGGGGCAGAGGCGTGGGCTCGGGGCATGACCGATGATATTGAGAAGGTTGCACTGCGTGCCTGCCGCAGGCGCAAGGGTATCGATGGGCGGTCCGCCGCCCAAGGGTCGGCTAACCTGCTCCGCGCTCCTGTGTGCGATGGTCGCGGCACTCGGCGGACTCATCTTCGGATACGACATCGGAGGCGGGGGAGGCGCCCAGGTCATGCTTGGCTTCAACTGGCAATTCGGTCCGCTCGCCACCCCGCCCACCCCTCCCTCGTCACGTCTCGGCGCCCTCACCACCCTTTGCTCTCGATCCAACGCCTGGCGACCGATTGCAGGCTTCTTGAAGCCTCCCCAGCTCTACCCCCCTGGGACACCCGTGTCGGAGATGGACACTGACATGAACGACCCCCTCAACATTTTCATCGGGGAGGCCCAGTACATCGACGCCGTGCGCCCGCCTATCATATGCCCGACCACCCTTGACTGGCTTACGCATACCTGTGCTTCTGTCGTAGGTTGGCAAGATCGCCTCGCTGTTTACCTTTGGTGCGGCCGCGGGCGCGATCCCATCGGGCTACCTTGCGGACACCTTCGGACGCAAACCCTGCATCATCATCTGCGGCCTCGTCTTCTCCATCGGAGCTTCGATCCAGGCGTTCGTGGACGTGGAGCCCAAGTCAGAGGATGATGACGCTTACAAAGAAGCGGCCACGACGGTGGCTCAGCCCGCGCCGGTGAACAGGATGAGTCGGCCTCGACTCACATGCCACGTGCGCCCGCTCGCAGTGTCTGTTCATTTTCCTGATCGGCCGTTTCATTGGCGGCGTTGGCATTGGCATGCTCTCCGCGACCGTCCCCGTCTACATTTCCGAGTGAGCGATCTCCCCCTGCCCTCGCACTGCCTCGCAGTCCCAACTCTCGTGCGGTCTGCCACCCTCGATCTGCTCCGACCGCGTCGCGTTGCAGGTGCGCGCGCAAGGAGGACCGCGGCATGCTCTCCGTCCTCTGGCAGACGGCCATCGTCTCGGGAATCACGATCGCTGGCTTCCTCAACCTGCCCTTTGCCGAAACCGGCCCGGATGGCATGTGGGCCGGCGAGCCCCTCGACGGCGGCCCTATCTTCCCATGGGGGTGGCGCGCCTCGTTTGGAGGCAACGTATCAGTTGCGATACTGCTCTCCGTCCTCATGCTCGGCATGCCCGAGTCGCCTCGCTGGCTGTTTGCGCATGGCAAGGAGGAGCAAGGGATGCAGGTCCTCCTCAAGCTCCGTTCCACCAAGTTCGAGGCGGAGCAAGAGGCGGCTACGATCCGGGGCAAGAACGACCGCGAGTCGAACGGAGGCAAGAGCAAGCCTGTCCAATCTGGCTGGGGCGGGCTGTGTGGCAGTGAGCAGCCAAGGGCCCATCCTCGGATCCTATCCGCCTCTTGACATCCCACTAATGCATACAGGTGAGATGTCGATGTGCCACCGCACCGCGCTCGGCGTCTCCCTTCAAGCGTGGCAGCCGTGGGTGGGGATCAATGCTATCATGTTCTTTTTCCCCATCCTTCTCTCGCAGTTCTTCGACACGCAGGGCGCCCTGTACGGCAACCTCGGAATGAACATCGCGAACGCGTTGGCGACTCTGATCGCCGTCTTCGGCGTCGACCGCTGCGGCCGCATCTCCCTGTTTATGGTCTCCGGACTCTCGATGGCCTTCTGCCACGCGTGCATGATCTACCTCGCGGCCGCCGAGCAAACTACTACGGTGGGCATGGCTATCATCGGCGCGAACCGCCTGTCCCCTCAGCTCAGCCCCGTCCCGCTACTGCTTGTGCACCGCTGGAACGGCCCGCTGGAACGGCTCGCACGTAGGCCTCATCTGCCTCTTTGTGGCGAGCTTCGCGTACGGCTGGGGGCCCCTGCCATGGTCGGTCTGCTCTGAGATCTACCCACTCAAGTACCGCTCCAAGGCAACCTCGCTCACGACGGGCGCGCGCCGCGCCGCGCACACCCTCGCCCTCACCCAGGGGCCCCCTCACCCCCTCTGGGCGATATCCACAGCGCGCTGCCGGCGTAGGCGTGAACTGGCTCATGAACTCAGTTGTCTCGCAAGCGTACCCAGCGATGCAAAACTACCAAGCGAACCTCCCCTTCATCGTGTTTTGTTTCACCAGCCTCGGCGCCGTTTGCTGAGCATCAGGCGTTAGCCCGGCACACAACCGACCTTCGCCCCCCTCCGCCGAACAGGCGCCACGCTGACGGTCTACCTGTTCGCCCCTGAGACGGTGCACAGACTCTTAGACGCTTGTGTAAAGGGCACACCAAGTGCACGCCCGTAGCAGTCAACCCCAGTCCCTGCCCCACTGTCCTGCCCCACTAGGCTGGACTGTCGCTCGAGGAGATCGACGAGGCCTTTGCGCAGCACCACGTGAAGGCGGCGCGTTCTTTCTGGAAGGAGGCCCAGCGCAGCAGCGGCGACGCGGGCGAGGAGCCAACCAAGGGTGGCGGTCCCGCGCGGGCGACGGCTCTTGCAATGGCATAAGCAGCTCTCGGCGCCGCAATATCATGATCGACGAGCAACGAGCGATGTGGCATCGCACAGGAGCAGCCACTCGCTCCGCACATAAGCCCGCCACACTCAGGGGCGGGTAGTGTTGCTGGCTGTGGAGGGACAACGAACGCAATGGAAGGTAAGCTGGGCCCTCGCGATGCTCAGAGCGCGCGGACGGTGCCACTGATGAATTTTGTTTAGTTGTCACAGGGCATGGCGCATGCGAGACGGAGCCAGAGGGTAGCGGGTAGGGGTGCCGAGGTGTTCCGTGTATTGAGGATGGCTCGCGCCGCCGGATCACATTTTTTTTCATGCACACCGTGTACTGCCCTTGTCGCGAGCAAATTCGATGCCCTCTCAAGAGCGAGCCTCTCACGCCGTCGCCGAGAGCCCCGTGGCAGAATCGCGTAAAAAAATGTAAGCCCTTGGAAGAATATCTTAAAATACAAGCCTCTCTCACAGCACACTGGCACGACAAGGGCGCAGACTGGCGCGGACTGGCACACACACCGGCACACCACACCGGAGGTTGGAAGAAAGTACAGTAGAAAGAAAGAAGTCAGCACGGCGCGTTACGAACACAGGGACACCTGAAAAAACCCGGGGTTTGCGCGCATCGATAAACGGGTCTCGGGGCTCTATTTTCTCTCGTTAGGTCTCAGGTGCTGGTTGAGATGATTTGTGGTAACTCATGCCCCAGCACGGGCCGCCGCCTCGAGCGCCGCGGCGACCTGTTCGTGCCCGCGCGAAGCGGCGAGGGACGCGGCGCTCACGCCGCTGTCGTCCACGGCAGCAGGGTCGGCGCCCGCCCGGAGGAGCGCCGCCGCGACCTCGGCGTGGCCCGATCCCGCAGCCGAGTGGAGCGGCGTCGACTCGCCCGCGTTCCGCGCGTTGACTGCCGCGCCCGCGCCGAGCAGCCACGCCACGGCCGCCTCGTCGCCCGCGGCGGCCGACCAGTGCAGCGCGGTGTGGCCGATCCCTCTCGCTTGCCGGGCCAGCAGCGAGGGGTCCTCCGCCAGGAGCCGCTCGAGCCTGGGGTGGGGCAGCAGAGGAGGTGTGTGTGTGTGTGTGTGTGTGTGTGTGTGTGTGTGTGTGTGTGTGTGTGTGTGTGTGTGTGTGTGTGTGTGTGTGTGTGTGTGTGTGTGTGTGTGTGTGTGTGTGTGTGTGTGTGTGTGTGTGTGTGTGTGTTGCACGTGGGGAGGGGAGCGGGCAGCGCGAACAACTCACCTCTGCACGTCGCCTTGCTTGGCGGCGGCAAACCACTGCCGTTCGGGCGACTGGGCCGTCCCGCCCACAGCGTCGCCCGCAGCGCCGCCCGCAGCCGCCAGGAAGGGCCGGGGCCGCGCGCCGCTTGGCGCACGGCGAGGCTCGCGCGTCCGCCCCTCGCCCTCGCCCGCTCCTTGGCTCGCGGACGCCGCGCCCGCCTCCGCCTCCGCCACCTGTCCTCCTGCTTCGCCGCCCCCGCCGCCCCCGCCCGCCCGCCCGGCAGCACTCTTCTTCGGGCCTCGTGCCGTGCGGCGGGCGGCGGTCGCGCGCGGGCCGCCGCCGCGCTTGTGGCGGCCGGTTCGGCTGCCGCCGCCCGCCGCCGCACCACCGCCGCGAGCGGGGCGAGCGCCCAGCTCTCTTTCCAGCGAGCGAAGCAGAGCCTCGTCCATCCTCTCGCCCGCCCCTCCGCCGAGGGATCCGCCTCCGAGCATCATCTCGGCGAGCATGGCCTCTAGCACCTCTAGGTCCTCCTCGCCCTCGAGCCCAAGGCCGTCTGAGCCGTCGCTCTCGCCACCGCCGACCGCCGCAGCGCCCATCTCGCGCATAGACGGGACCTCTGCGGCGGAGATGGTCGAGCCGTCTGGCATGAGCACCGGGCCGTCGGAGAGGCCCATGCTCGCCTTGAAGAATGACTCAAAGGACGCCTGCAGCCCCTCCATCCCGCCGCCGTCACCCTCGCCCCACTCCTCCGCGAGGCCCGACTCCTCCATCATCGCGGCGAAAAAGTCGCCGAGCCCGCCAAAGAGCTCGTCGAGGTTGGCTAGCTCGGCCTCGCCTGTCGCGTCGTACATGCGCCTCCGCTCCGTGTCCGAGAGGACGGCATACGCCTCTGAGATGCTCTTGAACGTCTCTGGCTTGCCGCCCTTGTCGGGGTGGTGTTTGAGTGCCAACCGGCGGTAGCTCTTTCGCACCTCGTCGGCGGACGCAGACGGAGCGAGCTGCAGGCGCTCGTAGAGGTCAGGGGACTGGCTCATCTGGGCGGCGGCCGCGCAAAGCCGTGTTTTCTTTCTTTTTCTTTCTCGGTGGTCGCCTCGAGCGGGTTGGCCGACGACTGCGCGCAACGGCGCAATCTCGGGGGACTTGTAGTACATCCCGAACTCGGCGACGATGGAGTGCTCCTCGGGCTCGTCCGCAATGATGCCTCGGGGCAGCCCTGGTAGGGCTCGTCGAGCACCTTGCGCGTGGAGCGTGGAGCAGCTGCAGGCTGCAGCAGTAGAGGGAGGGGCCGAGGGACCCCCACCCCTTAAGGCTAACCATCAGGACACAACCACACCATACGCGCAAAAAATCCGAACCCGACTCAGCCCGGGCGTGGCTGGGGAAGAGGTCGGCGCCTGGAGACCCGGGAGCCCCGTTGCCGAGTCCGCAGAGCGCCGACGCTCTCATCCTACCGCACGCGCATGCCTTCTCGCTCGAGACGGCATCGCAGGCCAGCGGCATTGCGGCTGATCCTCCCGACGGCGTGATTGGCTGCTGCGCCGTCTCGCCCGGGCTGGTGCTGCTCACCCTGCGTGCTGGCAGTCCATCCGGCTACGGCCTCCGGGACTGGCCGCTGCTGGTCGGCGGTGCCGGTGTCGGCGACGAGCCCGCGTTTGTCCTCGCGTACGGCGGCGTCGTTCGCTCGCCCTTGGCGGTGAGGTTCGCTGCCGCGGCGGCGGCCTACATGCACGGCGTCGACGACGCCTACTTTTGCGGCGGCTCCTTTTGGGATGGGCTGGGCGACCGCCCAACCCTGCGGCAGGTGTCAAAAGAGGGCTACATCTCGGCTGCGTCTCGGCTGCAGTGTGGCCGTTGCGGTCACATCTCGAGGTTGTGCACAGATTGCTGAGCGGGCGGTAGAAACGCTGCGAGGGCCGCTGCCGCTCGACGAGGCGGATCGCGAGCGCTGGCGCGGCCGAGGCGGCCGAGGTGCTGCACAGGCGTCCTCCCTGAGCCAACACCGAGGACCCCTCTGGTGTAGGCTCGCGGCCGAGGCGCAGGCGGCGGGCAAGCTGCGGGTCGTGGACGAGTACCGCAGGATGGCCCGCTGCCCCGACCTCGTCGCGCCGGCGCCGGTGCTGCGCGCGGAGTGGCTCGTGCCTGCGTTGCGGCCGCTGGTCGCCGGCGACGCGCACGCGCCGCCGTCCAGCGGCGAGGCGCTGCTTCGCGCGGCCAGGGCGGAGCCGCTCGCCGACGGCATCGTCGCGTTTGACCTCTTCGAGCCGCGCTTCTGCGAGCTTCTGCTGGCCGAGGCAGACGCGGACGAGGCGTCTCTAGCTCCTCACGATCCGTGGACGAGTCGTGAGCACTCAACGGGATGTACCGACAGGTGGACGCATACGAGGCGACTCCGCTGCCGCGCCGGAGGCCAAACACCATGAACCGCGGCGGGCTCATCGTCAACGAGATTGGGCTGGAGCCGCTGATGGACTTGCTGCTCCGCCGGCTCATCGCCCCGCTCGCCGCGCACCTCTACTCCGCCGAGCCGTTCGCGGCGTCGCTCGACCACCACCACTCGTTTGTCGTCGCGTACCGGCACCGCGGCGACGAGTGCGGGCGCGGGAGGAACCACGGCGCGCGGTACACGCCCCTGCACTACTGCAAGCCTTCTCGCGGATCCTTCCTGTAGGCTCGACATGCACCATGACGCGTCCGAGGCGACGCTCAACGTCTGCCTCGGCCGCGAAGGGTTCACCGGGGGCGGCCTCCGCTTCTGCGGCCGCTTCGGCGGCGAGGCGCACCGGCGCAATGTCGCGGTCGCGGATCACGCCGTCGGGCGCGCCACCCTGCACCTCGGCAGGCAGCGGCACGGCGCAGACGACCTCACGAGCGGCGAGCGGCTCAACCTCATCGTGTGGGCGCGCAGCTCCGCGTTCCGCGCCGCCGCCGCCTACGGCTACATTGCTCCGGACGGCTACCCGAAGGAGCCGGAGCAGGCGCGTCCCGACCTGGAGTGTCTCTCGCTCGCCAATGACGACGACTACCACGAGCAGCGCGCCCGCCAAGCGCCGTCTGGGGAGGGGTGAGTGGTGAGGGGTTGCGGTGGTACATGGTAAAGATGTGTGTGGTCCCCCGTAAGGGTGCTCAAGCTCGCGTCATCCGTCAAGCGGTCAACACGTGCCGTGGTGTCCACAGCCGCGCAGCAGCGGTGCAGCGCGGATCTAGATTTCTTGTTGCGGCTGTATCTAAAAATCTCTCGGATCTACGGATTTCTTACACGTTCGAGTTCGAGGGCGGGTTCGCCGGATGGTTCGTTGTACTGTCTATGCACCCCTTCGTCCAGGGTGCGGCCCGTTGAAATGAATCATCGGTCGTCGCGCGCTCAACAGCTCCTCTCAGCAGTAGGGGCTGTCGGTCCAGGCCGCCTTGACCAGCGGGTCGAGCGAGTTGAGCTGCGCGAGACGCTTCTCGATGAAGCCGACGTCGCCCTCCTCCTGCGCCTTCATGGCGGCGGGGGCCTCGAACGCCACCGCCACCGAGGCGAGCCGCAGCCCCTTGCGCACGGCGTGCACGAGGGGCACCACCTGCGCGGCGGCAGGCGTCGCAGCTCGGTTCCACTCCCCCTTCCTCTGCCGGCCAGCGGGGCACCGCGGCGGCTCGCTCCTGGGCGTCGTACATCGGGCCACCGAAGCGGGTCCAGAGGTCAGAGTGGCGAGCGCGGAAGGCAAACGGCCTACCAGGGCGAGAGCCCGGAGTTGCTGCGATGGAGGGGTCCCACAAAATAAATGAGGCGACCGCGCCCGAAGTGCCAGTCGAGAGACGGCAGCGCGTCACAGTGCGTCCTGGCGACGGCGTCGAGGTAGAGATTGCCGTAGGTCTCCGAGTGGACCTGTTCGATCGGGTACGTTGCGGCAAATTTGGCCGACTCCCGCCTCGGTACGAGGACGTCGGCATCCTTCGCAGCGTCCAGGGCCGTCGCCCAGTGCCTCGCCATGTCGGTCTTCTCAGGCTCCTGCCAGCAGAGCCACGTCTCCGCGACCACTCCCGGCAGCGCAGATGCGATCGCCACAGCCTCCCGCAACGCAGCTCCTTTCTTTCCCACCGCTTTCTGCTCCGACACGATGGCGCCGGTGGCAGAGAGCAAGTCACGGACGGCCGCCGCCGGGGAGGCGTCAACAACGACAACAGGCAGCCCGGCCGCCACGAGCGCTCGCAGCGTCTCCGTCGCCGCAAGGCAGCGCACGTCGTCGGCGCCCGAGTACCACGTAGCGGTGAACACCACACTCGCCACGGCCTCCGCCGCCGGCGGCGCCATTTCTTCTTGTGGTTGGAAAAAAACGAGACGGACGTTCCACCGCCTCCTTCGCCGTTCCCCCTCCTACCTCCGTCGTCCCCCCCATTTGCCGCTGCATTTTGTCGTCTGTTGGTTTCGTTTTCCTTCTGCGCCTTTTGTTCGTGCTTTCTTGATTTTTTGGGACCTCTTTCTTCTAGTGTGTGTAAAATCTCCGTCTTTATTTTATT